AAGATTTCCAACGGACAAAGCAATTTAAAACAGGTTTCAAGTTATGAAACGTTCTCGAGACTTATTAAACAAAAATAAGCAATTAACGCATTAACAAAAAATCTCACAAATATATACAGTGAAAGATCGCTAAGCTTTCTATTACAAACATAAAATTCAAAAAGTAGAATGCTTCTATAAAAACCAATATTAAATCAAGGTTATAGCTTTTGCTATCATGTATATACATCTCATCACATACCTTGAATTATTACTTCGTTGTCTTCAGTAAAAAAGCTCTTGATACGAGAAGTGTGCAATTCCAACAAATATTTTCACCGATATTCACATCTAATCTCCGAGAAGATTTCTTTGAATGTTTAACTATGGTAGGAAAACAAAAAATTTCGCAGATTGAAAGGACTCTTAGGTTTGCCGGATATTATCAAATAAAGTGGTGAAATGGGAAACTCCCCCGACCCATAACATTTCAGTGTGGGATAATTCCAGAGAGCTCATACTTTGTTTTATTAAAAATATTCTACTGTTTTTGCTCACCTAAAACGTTTCAAACCAAAAACCAACCTGAAATATTCCAGTGGGCACATTCGCAAGATAGTAGGAATCATTCACGATATTGAGAGAATCGGAGCTGTGCATATGTACCGAGGGATTGCTATTGCTGAGAAATAGCTTTCCATGGACGCCATGCGAGTTGTTGAAAAGGAGCAAGATTCAATACTGTGATTAACACTTGTAGAGACTTAAATAATATTATAACAGATAGACAAAGCAAATATGCAATAAAGCATTGATATGTTAGAAAGCTTTTACTTCAGGAGTGTTTCTTTGGAGATTTCACGACCTTTTCTGCACGAAGCCATGAGAGAATCTAAGTCTTTGATTAGATTCAAGAGCAGCGCACTTTGCGCAAGGGGCACAGACCATAAGGGCTCATCATATGATATCGACAAAGCGCGTATCGGTATTTCTATATCCCGCTAGTAATCTGGAACCTTAAGATCTAACAAAAGAGTTAAATTTACAAAAAATTCTTATGATGGTTCTGATGTTTGCGAGCGTAAGTTGAATTGGTTCAGAGATGAAGTTACAGTACAAATTTTATCGATTAACACTTCTTTGTGGGACAATTGTCCCTCCAACCAAGGTTAACATGGTTTTGGGTAAACATAGCAATAATTCAAATAATTTCTTCAGCAAAATCAACAAAAATATAGTTGAATTATAAATAAGCAGTGATGTGGTTTAAATAAGTTCACTAACAACAACAGCTGTCAAATTATAAAATGTAGTACGCTCGCGAATTTCAAAAAAAGGCTTTGGTCACTATGAGTGACTGATAGTATCACTTTTTTCAACTGGAAATTACTCGCACTCTCTTTTAAATAATTTCACTAAACAGAGAGAGAAAAAAACAAAAACAGAACTTCGCTAGTTTGAAAATAAGCAGAAACTTTGAACCAATCCCTCAAAAATGACAATCCCTAAGGCAACATGTGATCAATGGCTGTGGGGGCAGGGACAGGGGGCACAATGTCTCTCAATTGATTCAAAATTTGTCGAAATTTTCAATAAAGGATCGAGCAGCTATGTCAATGATTAAATTCCAAAACCTTGATACACACTAAAGGTATAAGAAGATGTCGTGGAAAACAAACCTTTTAGCAAATAATATTACCGTGTGGACTAAAGTATTTTCAGTACTATATCTAGATGAGGGGCTACGATTCTCTCTTGAAGTAAAGAAGGGTATGATACTAGATTTCCACACGAAATGCTTTCTTTTTATGAAATGCTTTCCATTCTAATTTGCATAATGTAGGACTTAGAGCTTTAGGGAATAGCTCTATAAGAATGGGCTGGTCAGTAAGGTCCCAGGATAATCACTCAGAGAAGCCAAGCCAGGCCCACCGTACGATAATATAACGCAAAGTATTACTCGACTTGAGCTGGATTGTCAAATTGAGCACTCAGGTTGTTTGGGTTCAGTTGAACCGCTGCTTCTTTCTATTGCCTTTCGTTGAGCCTCTTCCACTCTTTTGTGGTCATGTTAAGGTATTTACAATGTGCTCTCTAAGTGCAGATGGCTGACGTGAGCCATCTAGATTAATGCAAAAGTGTGGTAAGTACGCAATTAAATTTTAAAAGACCAATTTAATTAGAGCACGGAGAGAGCGTAGTGTATAAGAGGAATTATGGGTGCTATGTGACTAGAGCTTCGTGTAGTAATCTGTTAACAAAATTTTTCTTGAGTATATATTTATATATAGTAATATCATATACAGCTATTATTCTGGATGAGCAAGAGACAGCTGCCTTCGAATTTTGTATAAGTTAATTTTGTTAAGAATAGAGTTTGCAGGATTTAACAAATTTCATTAAAATAAATACTTGATTTTGTTGTCTTGCCTATAGTTTTGACGGAGAATTACTAAAGGATGTGGTAAAGATAACATAGAATAAGATGTATATAAAGAGAGGATTTTTTTGTGAGCAAACAGGAATGGAGAAAAATGGCTTGAAAAAGCAACATTTTGCAGGATAGTCAAAGCTCATCTACAATATTTATTAACGGATGGCAATCTCTGGATCTCAAGAAGTCAAATAATTGAGTCTAGATTCTATCCTTTTATGAGTTTGTTTTTCAATATTTCAAAGAAACAGAAGTAAAATGTTCACACAAATACAAATAGTTGGATTTGGTAAGTAGTTTGCAGAAGAACAAAAAAAATACAAGTTTTGAACTTGAAAGCCGTATCTGAAACTATTAGAAATTCATTATATATTACATGGGAGAAAATGAGAGAAACATTTTTACCTGTTGGAATGCTTCCTTCACTATGTCCTGTCACTTTCTCTTATAAACGTATGTTGGACACTTCCTCTTCAAAATTTTCTTCTTTCCATTTCCCTTTTTCTTGCTTTTTTCTGTTTGGACTTTTTACATGGCAACCGCAAACCTCATATGGAGCTTGGCGCAGCTTTATTTCTACTCTTCTGAAATTTATAGAATCATTGTCTCTACAACCCAAAGTAGCTTTCTCTTTTCGCCAAAGAGCCTCTTCATTTTTTAAATCTTTAACCAATGCCCTTTGATAAAATTAAACTTTGTTTTGAAATTAAGGCACCCAAGACATAGCAAAACAACGTGCAAAACACAAGAAACTATGAAAGATAGCTTTTTGGTTTGCCAATTCCAGCCATTTCCAGTGGGCATACCTATTGATAATCATAACTTAACAAACTAAATTAATTAATCCATATAAGACAAAACAAAGATGGTGAAAAATGGGAAAACAGAAATTAAACAAAACGGAGCACCAGAAATAGCTTGGTTTAAAAACATGTAAATCTCGAGTAAGCTCTTTAAGAATAGAGAAAGTATATGGAGATTGTGACAAAATGTGCAAACAAAAATGTGGTTTACAAAAAAGATAAGAAGATTTCCTGTGGGTTCAAAATGCTTTTTAGAATCAAACCTGGAATGCTTTTTCTGCTTCAATCAACGCTTCTGTTTTCTCCCGTCTTACCCTGAGAGCCGTTATCTTCTTGCTTGTTTTCCCTTCTTGCATATGGTATTCACCTGGCGCCTTTTCTCATTCCAACTGATGATCAGTCATGGCATTATCTGATTTTATATGTGAAATATTCATACATAATAAATATTTCTCTCACTCCATACGAGCTCTTTGCTCTACTTTTTTAGGGGCACGTTTGCTTTGAGCATGCTTTCAGTGGGGAAGTTTTTGGCTTGGGGATGGTCCCTGTACTTGGGTTATTTTTCGTTTGAGCTCCTCCTTTCATTGATTTTGCAGACTCCAAAGGTGGCTTCTCTTCTGGTGACGATTCTTTACCTAGGTCCTCTCTATTACCCATCCATCTGAAAGTATTCTGCTTTTTACTTCTGACGCATCAAACCAACTCAAAAACTTTCCCATCCTCTCTATCAAATTTATATCAAATTTAGCTCAAATGATATTGTGGGTGATCGTATTTTGATAGAGAGGGATGGAAAGTTTGAGTTGGTTGATGCGTCAGAAGTAAAAGCAGAATACTTTCAGATGATGGGAATAGAGGAGGACCTAGGTAAAGAATCGTCACCAGAAGAGAAGCCACCTTTGGAGTCTGCAAAATCAATGAAGGAGGACTCAACGAAAAATAACCCAAGTAACAGGACATCCCCAAGGCCAAAAACTTCCCCACTGAAAGCTGGCTCAAGCAAAGTGCCCCAAAAAAGTAGAGCAAAGAGCTCGTATGCGAGGGAGAGAAATTATGATGAATATTCACATATAAAATCCAGATATGCCATGACTGATCATCAGTTGGAAATGAAAAGGCGCAGGGAAGAGGCCATTGCAAGAAGGAAAAAAGAAGAAGATGAACGGCTTCAGGAAGAGAATAACAGGAAGCGTGATGAAGCAGAAAAGGCATTCCAGGTTTGATTCTAAAAAGCTTTTGAACCCAAGGAAATCTTCTTATCTTTTTTGTAAACCACATTTTGTTTGCACATTGTTTTCCAATTATACTTTCTATTTTAAAGAGCTACTGAGAGTTTTTCTGTTTTTAAACCAGCTATTTTGGTGCTTTCGTTTTTTAATTCTGCTTTTCCCATTTTTCACCATCTTTGTTGTCTTATATGATTAATTAATTAGTTGTAAGTTTGATTATCAAAGTAGCCCACTGGAATGGCTGGAATGGCAACCAAAAATGCATCTTTCATAGTTTTCTTGTGTTTGCACGTTGTTTTGCTATGTCTGGTGCCTTTTAACAAAGTTTAATTTTATTCAAAGGCTTGGTTAAAGATTAAAAATGAAGAGGCTCTTGAAAAGAGAAAGTATTTGGGTTTAAAGAATGATTCTAAATTGAAAGAAGATAGAAATAAAGCTGCGCAAGATGCATATGAGGTTTGGTTGCATGAAAAGTCCAAACAGAAAAAGCAAGAAAAGGAAATGGAAAGAAGAAAATTTGAAGAGGAAGTGTCAACATACGTTATAAGAGAAAGACAGACATGTGAGGAAGCATTCAACAGGTAAAATTTCATCATTTCCCCATTATATATAATAATTTCTAATAGTTTCAGATAGGTTTCAAGTTCAAAACTTGTATTTTTTTTGTTTCTTCTGAAACTCTTACCATCCAATATTTGTATTTGTGTGAAATTTTACTCTGTTTTGAAATTTGATAAAAACTCATAAAAGGATAGAATCTTAGACTATTATTTGCTTTTGAGATCCTAGAGATTGCCAGTTAATAATATATTGATGATGAGGCTTTGACTATCCTGCAAAATGTTTGCTTTTTTCAAAGCCATTTTCAAATTTTGTACCACCAAAAATTATTTACATATATATTTTTACAAAATTTAGAATATAGGTCAAAATATAGGCAAGAACAAAGTTTTTTTTAATGAATTTGTTAAATCCTGCAAATAGGTTTTTTAAAGAATAACCTTTAAAAATCAAGGCAGCTGCTTGTCTGTCATCCAGAATAAGCTGTATATGTATGTTAAAAATATAAATATATCAAGAATTTGTTTGCAATTATAGAGAAAATTTGTTCCATAGAAATTTTTGTCCTTTACGCCAATTGGTCTTAATAATTGGTCTTTTAAAGTAATTTTACCATAAACATTGAACTAGATGGCTAAAGAAAAAGCGAATAGAAGAAAAGAAGAAACTTGCTGCAAAGAAACCAAGAAGGCAACGAAAGGCAAAGAAAAAGGGTTCAACTGACCCAAAACCTATCAATACATCAGCAATAAGGTAATCTTTGCTTTTTTATCTTGAGGCCCTGGCTGGCTTTTGAGTGATATCCTGGGACTTACATGACCAGCCCATTCTTATAGAGCTATTCCTAAAGCTCTAAGTCCTATCATTATGCAAATTGAATGGAAAGCATTTCATAAAAAGAAAGCATTTCGTGTGGAAATCTAGTATATACCTTCTTTACAAGAGAGAATAGCCCCTCTATAGTACTGAAAATACTTTAGTCCAAGTAATTTATTTTGCTAAAAGGTTTGTTTCACCTCTCTTATACCTTTTTTATCAAGTTTGAGAATTTTTTGACATAGCCGTGATTTTTCTGAAAATTCGACAAATTTTGAAAATTGAGAGGCTTTGGCCCCCTGTCCCCTGCCCCACAGCCATTACACATTGCCTTAGGGATTTGTCATTTTAGAGGGATTGGTCAAAGTTTCTGTTATTTCAAACTAGCAAGTTTCTGTTGGTTTTTTATTTTGTTAGTGAATTATTTAAAGAGAGTGAGTAATTTAACAGTGAAAAAAGTGAATATCCAGTACCCAGTGACAAAGCTTTTTGAAATTCACACTATATATTTATAATTGACAGGTTGTTGTGGAACTTTTTAACACATCACTGTATATATTCAATATATTTTTGTTGAATTTTGCTGAAGAAATGATTTTTGAATATCATGTTTACCCAACCATGTAACCTTGGTTGAGGACATTGTCCCAAAAGAGTGTTATCGATAAAATTGTATGTATCATCTCTGAACCAATTCAACTTACGCTCGCTACATCAGAACCATCATAAATTTTTTGTTAATTTCTCTTGTAATTTAAGGTTCACAGATTACTACGGATATAGAAATACCGTCGCTTTGTAAATCAAGAAGCCTATGGTCGTGCCCTTGCGCAAGTGCGCTGTCTTGATCTCATCAAAGATAGATTTATGGCTTCGTGCAGAAAAGGGTCGTGAAATCTCCAAAGAAACACTCCTGAAGTAAAAGCTTTCTATTAATGCTTTATTGATTTGCTTTTTTTGTTATAATTTTTTAGTCTCTAAGTATCACAGTATTGATTTGCTCCTTTTCAAAATGCTGCGTCCATGGAAGCTTTCGGCATCCAATCCCGCGTATATGCCAGCTCCGATTCTCCAACGAATGATCTATCTGGATTCCCAGCTAATTCAGGTGGTTTTTGGTTGAAACGTTTAGTAGCAAACATAGAAGATTTTTAATAAACAAAGTATGAGCTCTCTGGAATTATCCACACTGAAATGTTTGGGTCGGGGGAGGTTTCCCATACCACTTTATTGTAATACCTGGCAAACCTAGAGTCCTTCATCTGGAAGATTTTTGCCTACCATAGTTAAACATCAAAGAAATCTTCGGAGATTGATGTGAATATCGGTGTAAAATATTTGTTGGAATTGCACACTTCTCGTATCAAGAGCTTTTTTACTGAAGAACGAAGTTAATAATCAAGGTGTGATGAGAGTATATATGATACAAAGCTATAACCTTGATAATATTGGTCTTATAGGAGCATCTACTTTTTGAATTTTATGTTTGTAATAGAAAGCTAGCGATCTTTCACTGGTATATATTGTGAGATTTTTGTTAATGAGTTAATTGTATATTTTTGTTAATAAGTCTCGAGAACGTTCATAACTTGGAAACCTGTTTTAATTGCTTTGTCCGTTGGAAATTCTTTTCAGCATTTTGCATCTTTCAGTTGATCACTGGCCCCGTATTGAAACAAGACTTGTTTTCTTTATGATACGATTATCAGAATGGGAGAGAATACAAACGAAATCAACCAGTATCAAATCATAATTTTTTGTTCAGGCATCTGCTGATACACATTTTGTAAGTACTTCTACGTTGTTTCTTACGCCGCGAGATTGCCTATGCTACGTCAAAAGTCAACTGCTTGAAGGATAGATGCATCGTGGGACAATTTTGTCAAGCATTCTCATCGATTCTAGAAGATTTTCTTAACAGTTTTTGCCATATACATGCAATTCAATTGGTCCGTTCGTTTTGTTTCAGAAATAAGAGTCTAAGGGCTGAAAATTTGATTAGCCAGGTTTCTTCTATGATTATATAAGATAGGCAGGAACAATGCGAAACGACGCGTAAAGGTTTAATATGAAGAAAACAAAAAATCAGACTCTTGAAGAAAACGCAATTTATCCATATTTTTTCTTGAGGTGCCAATAAAGCAAAATTCTCATACTTGAATTTAAAAAATCGTATTTTCCGAAGGTCACAAATTGACAGCCAAATTTTCAATCAGAGTCTTAAATTAAATAGAAAAAAATTCGAAGACCAAGGTGGCATTGTGCCGTCACAGTGATTTGCAAATTTGAAGATCACTGCGTTTTTTTAACCAAGTATCAAATTTGCTAACATCACCGTTAACAGCCTCATTCAGCTGAGTCAAGTCGTTAGAGTGGTAGCACGAACAGATACCATTAACATAGATGGATATGCTAGATGTGGGTCTAGACTTGTGAAATCTCAAATTGTTTGCTCCCTTAATTGGAATATACCCTCAACTCTTGGGTGCTTTAAAGAACAACTGAAAGCAAACATACTGGCTGACAAAATACATTAACGTCAAAACACGACCCCCTGGAAGAACAGCAATATTGAAAATTTACTCAAATCTTGCCTTTGATTTTCACATTTATTCCTTAGATTGTATATAGTTATTATTAAATACTGAAGGGTTTAATTTCGTATATAAATATTATATCATATCATACACCCTATTAACCCTACAGAGTTACTATAGGCTTGTTAAATGGGATCTGAAAGAGATCGTTTGCAGAGGATATCATGATATACAATGTCGACAGCATTTTTATTGTCAATGAAGACTAGACCCAAAAGGTTGCCCATTTTCCAGCCTATGATCCATTCTCCATTAGTTTGCAATATATAATAATGATGGAAACATTTCATTTTCAATTCAACTTAAACTACAATTACAAATCTCACTATTACAAGGTAATTTGCAATTGGCTAGCCTGGTTTTACAAGAAAAAACTATAACAATCGTAAGGTAAAAGGAAAAACTGAGAAAAATAAAACAACCAAAATTAAAACGGATGTAATTCCGGATTTGTCCATGGTTTATTTTTGCAACAAAATATGTAGTACGTAGTACGAATGGCAATGTTGGAAAGTTTAGAGATGAGATACCGTTTTTGTTATTGATCGATGGAGAGAGAGTCACACATTTTGAAGAAAGAGATGCAGGAATTGCCAAAGATGCCAAGAGAGCTCATAGAAAGATTCACAAAAGAGACACATTTGAACTTTCGCTGTAAGTCAGATAGGAGAGGAGCATACTTGCTGTGTTTTCTTGTTGCATTTGTGTCAAGATTGGATTCAAAACCAACAGTAAGCTCTAAGATGTATAGGTAATTGTTGTTAGTCTTCAAGAGAAGATCTGGGCGAAGGTTTTCTCCAGTTATGATTGATGGTGAAAGATAGCCAGGTATATCAGCGTAGATGGTAGATTCATTAACAGCTTTAAGAGACGTAGCTAGAAAGTTTAAGATAGAGTTATGACGCCAGGTGTATCGGCCTTGTTCCAAGTATGTTTTTCAGCCAGCAACAACGTGAAGGAGGGTTTCTGGCAGAAAACAGAAAGAACAATCAGAAGTCTGGCTCAAGTTCCACTTTTTCAAGTTTTTCTGTGTAGCAAGGGTATTGTTCAGGTACCTTATGGTGAAATTGAAAATATTCTGAGGCATGCTACTTTGCACCTTGGACCAAAGTTTGTTTATTTGTGGAAGATCCTGGTTAAAAAGATGTGACAATAAAGATCCTTGGGAAGTTAGAATGTTTTGCAGACGATCTTTATGTTCTTGCTGGACAGCCTTTAATGCTTCTTTCGTGTTCCTATATATATCATATTGTATATTTGTGCTACTGCTGGTATTTTTCCATAAAGAGCGAATGTTATCGTTTGGTGAAGATTTCAATGCGTTGCGTAAAATAGTTTGACACTGTAGGAATTTGGCGGATGGTAAAGTTAGGCTGAGTCCAAACTGGTTTTTAGAAAGAATAATGCTACTCAAGGTAGCACTTATTGGGAGGTCGAGCCACTGGCGGATGTATTTGGATACAAGGTTGTCAAGATTCTCGACAACCCACGTCTTTGAAAGATCTGCTACAGTAAGGTTCCAAGAGATTTTAGAAAGAACAAAGTTGTGATAAAGAAGCAACTTATTTTTTGCATGTAGAGGCTGGGAATCAATTTGTTTGAGCATGTTGGACAGTGATGATAAAAGATCAGATCTATGTTCTTGGTTTGTCATTTCAAAGTCAAAATGACGACCGAGGTACTTAAAAGAATTTCCATTCGAGACAGGTGGGATAGATTCGTTGTTTATGAAAAGCTTAGGTTGATACTGAAGAGAACGTGTGGAAAATTTCTTTATTCCAAAAGTGATGCATTTATCGACACGTATGATCATGTTAGCCCATTGGCACCAGCGAGTGAAACAATTCAGTAGAAGTTGGTTTTCTTTCTCATTGCTGGTGATAACGGCAGCATCGTCTGCGAATTGAAACCAATGGACTGGTTGAAACATACGGTCGTTCTGATCATGTGGGGAGAAACCTAACTGTTTGTATTTTTCAGCTTTTATGTACTGTATGAATGTGTTGAAGCATAGATTAAATAGTAGAGGACTGAGGCAGTCGCCTTGAAGAACACCGCGACGGACTGGAATAGCAGGAGTATTATAGTGGCTTGTGATGATAGAGGTTTTAAAATCGGTGTAAAGGCTAGAGATAAGAAGTTGTATGTTGTCAGGAATATGATGGTAAGATAGTACAGTGGGTATCAAATTATGATGTACTTCTCCAAATGCATTTTTAAGATCGAGAAGAGTGACAACTAGTGAACGTTGCTTGATACGAGCTTTGTTTATGACCTGAGCCATCATGGCAGTATGCTCTAAGGTCCCTGAAATATTCGAGGTGAAGCCTTTTTGTATTTCGTGCTCAATGAGACCATTTAATAATAACAATAATAACAATAACAATAACAATAATAACAATAACAATAATAATAATAACAATAATAATAATAAAGTAAATGTAAATGCAAATAAATGTTGAAGAGCCACCCCCAATTGAAGAAATAGAGGCATTTTGGGGTAGCATTTGGGAAAGTGAGAAACATCATGATGAAACGGCAGAATGGATACGACAACAAGAAGAGATGATGAAAAACCAACATACTCAAGATTGGCAGGATATTGAGGATGGTGAAGTGACCCTGGCTCTAAAAAAGACCAGTAACTGGAAGTCACCAGGCATTGACAGAGTACCAAATTTTTGGTTAAAAAACCTAGAGAGATTACATGGTGGCCTAACAACAACATACAATGATATTGTTAAGAATCCAGAAAAGAGCCCAGAATGGCTGACACGAGGCCTGACATATCTGCTACCAAAAAACAATGAAACGAAGAACCCGAAGAACGACCGGCCAATAGCCTGCTTGCCAACAACTTACAAAGTCCTAACATCCGTCATAACTGAGAGAACATACACTTTTCTTGAAGGGAACAGCCTTTTACCCCAAGCACAGAAGGGGTGTAAGAGAGGAAGCTATGGCTGCAAAGATCAATTATTGATAAATAAAATGATAATTGAAGATTGTAAGAACAAGAAAAAAACCTTAGCACCGCTTGGATTGATTATTGCAAGGCATTTGATAGTGTCCCGCACTCTTGGATCATGAAGACAATGGAAATGTATAAGTTGTCCCCAACATTAATAAGATTCATGACAGGTAGTATGAGCAATTGGAAAACAACACCGTCTCTAAGTCACAGTCAGGGTACAATTGAGACAAGATCAATAAGCATTAAAAGTGGTATCTTCCAAGGAGATTCGTTATCACCACTTCTGTTCTGCCTGTCATTGGCACCACTCAGCATTATTCTCAACAACACTGGATATGGATATGAAATAGCAGGTAAGAAAATTAGCCATTTATTCTATATGGACGATTTGAAGACCTATGTTAAAAACGATAATCAACAGGAGGGGCTGCTCAAGACAATCAAAACCTTCAGCGACGATATCTGCATGCAGTTTGGCATTGCGAAGTATGCCAAAGCCACATTCAAGAGGGGCAAGCTCACACGAAATACAGACATCACAGTAAACACGAACACCACAATAAAGGGGCTAAAACAGGAAGTTGCGTACAAATATCTTGGGATCAATGAAGGTGATGGTATACAACATGCCACCATGAAAGAACAAATCAGAAAAGAATACTACAGGAGAGTGAGACTGGTAACAAAAAGTGAACTCAACGGATCAAACAAGATAGAAGCAATCAACACACTTGCTGTACCTGTATTTACATATAGTGTCAACATCGTAAACTGGCAGATGAGTGAAATAAGAAAGCTGGATACAGAGACAAGGAAACTGTTAACTATGGAGAGGATGAACCACCCAAAAGCTGACGTGGAAAGAATGTATCTAGCAAGAGAAGGCGGCGGACGGGGCCTCACTCAGCTTGAACTCGTGTTCAAAACAACCACTGTAGAACTAACCTCGTACCTAGAACAAACAGATGATCCCCTTCTCAAACTTGTGTACTGGCATGAAAACAGCAAGATGCTCTATTCTGTTGCAAAAGACGCCAGAAAATTCAAAGAAAAGTTCGAAGTACTAGACACACCTAGAATACAACAAGAACAAGTCACTTAATTTGCTAAGAGAGTAAAGCAGGAGACGAAGTCACATGAGAAGATGAGAAAGATATGGGAAGGAAAGCCGATGCATGGTCAGTATCCAACTAGGGTGAATAAGCCAGATGTTGAAAAAGAAAAGACCCACAAATGGCTTAAGAGTCCTGGACTCAAAGGAGAAACTGAGGGATTACTAGTCGCTGCACAGGACCAAAGCTTAGCAACAAGATCATACCACAATAAGATCATCAAAGACGGCACTGACCCCAAATGTAGGATGTGCAATGAATTCGAGGAGATTATTGACCATATCGTGGCTGGCTTTCAAGTGCTCGCAAAAACGGAATATATACAGCGACATGACAAAGCAGCAGGGTACCTCCACTGGAGAATATGCAAGCATTACCATTTCCCAGCTGCAGACAAGTGGTATGAGCACAAACCCGAGAAAGTGACTGAAAACGAAACTGCCACTATATTATGGGACGTACCTGTGAACACAGAAAAAAAGATAAAAGCTAATAGACCTGACATAATTATCAAAGACAAGAAAGAAAAACATGCATTATTATTGACATGAGTAAACCATCTGAAAGAAATGTATCGATTAAAGAAGTAGAGAAGCTGTCCAAGTATAAAGACCTTGAAATTGAAGTGACAAAAATGTTGGGAATGAAAACATCCACAGTTCCAATTGTAGTGGGAGCACTTGGACTCATCAAGAAATGCCTTGAGAAGAACGCAAGTCAAATCCCTGGCAATATACGGATTGAAGAATTGCAGAAGATTACTCTCCTCGGAAGCGCCCACATCCTGAGAAGAACCTTGTCCATCAAGTGAACACTGCTGTTTCCTTAGGGTCATGGACTGACCTTGGCACAGTGGTGAAAACTGTACAGCATTATAAGCAAAGAACAATAATAATAATAATGGAAACTTTTCATTTTGAATTCCAGTTAAAACTACAATTACAAATCTCATTATTACAATGTAATTTTTAACTGGCTATCCTATTTTTACAAAAAAAGACTATTACAATCGTAGTAAAGAGAAAAGAAAAAAAAACGTTAAAAGGGGAGTAGCTCTGGATTAGTCCATGTTTTGTTCCTACAGCAAAAAATGTAATAGGTGGTACGAATGGATATCGTAGAAAGCTTAGAAATGAGATATCGCTTGTGTTGATCATCGATGGAAATAGAGTCACACATTTCAAGGAATGAGCTGCATGAATCGCCGAAGATGCCAAGAGGGCTGATGGAGAGATTTACAAATATGACAGATTTGAACCTTGGTCTTAGATCTGAGACAAGGCGAGCATATTTTAAACGTTTCCTTTCTGCATTGCAGTTAAGCTTAGTTTCAAATCCTATCGTTAGTTCCAAAACATAAAGAATGTTTTCCTTTGTACGCAGAAGTAGATCTGGGCGCAGATTGTCTCCAGTTATGATGGATGGTGAGGAGAAGCCAGGTATATCGGCAAAAAGAGAGGATCCCTCTATTGCTTTCAAGGAGGTTGCAAAAAAATTTAGAGCAGAATTATGACGCCAGGTATAACGACCTTGTTCGAAATAAACTTTGCAGCCTGCAACGACATTGAGTAAAGTTTCGGGAAGAAGGCAGAATTCGCAATCAGATGATTGGCTTAGGTTCCAAAGGCTTATTTTTTGGGCGTAGGGAGAGTATTGTTCAGGTACTTGATGGTGAAGTTGAAGATGTTCGTGGGTAGGTTGCTCTGCACAACAGACCAAAGACCATTGAGCTTTTTAAGAGAGTGGTCCAACAGAAATGAAATAATAGCACCCTGGGATAGTAATTGGTGTGCCAAGCGCTCTCTACTGTCTGATTTTACTGCTTTCAGTACATCTTTGTTACGGTAAATGTCGTATTGCAGATTCATCCCACTACTGGTGTTTTTCCATAAAGCTTGAATGTTTGTGTTAGGAGAAGTTCGGAGGGCATTGCGTGAAACAGTTTGGCATTGAGTGAATTTGACAGAAGGTAGCTGAAGATCGAGACCAAATTGATTTTTAGAAAGAACTATACTAGTTAAAGTAGCACTTATGGGAAGATCAAGCCACTGGCGAATGTATTTAGAGACAAGATTATCGAGGTTCTCAATGACCCAGGTCTTCGATAGGTCTGCAACAGTGAAGTGCCAAGAAACTTTGGACAATACATATCTGTGGTACAATAGAAGTTTATTTTTGGGATGCAGAGGCAAGTCATCAATTTCTTTCAGAAGGCTGGGAAACATTGATAGCAGTTTTTCTTTATGACTGCCATTGGTCATTTCGAAGTCAAGGTAGAAGTCAAGGAAGCGGCCAAGGTATTTGAAAGATTCTCCATTTTTAACAACAGGCACGCTTTGGTTGTTCACGAAAAGCTTTGGCTGGAACTGAAGAGATCTTGTTGAGTATTTCTTAATGCCAAAGGTGACACATTTATCAACCCTTATTACAAAGTTTGCCCACTGACACCATCTTGTAAAGCAGTTTAACAGGAGTTGGTTCTCCTTTTCACCACTAGTAACAACCGCAGCATCATCAGCAAATTGGAACCAATGCACTGGCTGGAACATGCGATCGTTTTCGTCGTGGGGAGAGAAGCCAAGCTGTTTATATTTTTCTGCTTTTATGTATTGAATATACGTATTGAACATAGATTAAAGATAAGAGGGCTGAGGCAGTCGCCTTGAAGAACACCACGACAAACGGGAATGGCAGGGGTTTGGAATGTATCTGTGAGGATAGAGGTCTTGAAGCCCGAATATAAGCTGGAGACCAGAGCCTGAATATGAGATGGTATATGATGGTACGAAAGAATAGTGGGAATCAAATTATGGTGGACCTCGCCGAAAGCATTTTTGAGATCAAGCAGGGTAACAACCAAAGAGCGCTGTTTTGTGCGAGCTTTATTTATCATATGACCCATAAGTGCCGTGTGTTCTAAAGTACCTGATATCTTGGGAGTGAAGCCTTTTTGAATTTGGCTTTCAATGAAACCATTTTGTTTCAGAAAGTTGAAAACAGAGTTACGTAGGCAGGAGGTGAAGATTTTCAAGGGAACAGATTCTAAGGTTATTGGTCTGAAGTTAGAAGGATCGTCTGTATTGTCTTTTTTGTGGATCAATATCGTTGATGCTTTTTTCCATTGGAACACTGCCAGATACCCAAATGCTATGAATAATTTTGGTGAGGAAAGATCGTAGGTAAGGGCAACGTTTGAAACAAATTATGGATATCTTATCAAGGGGACAGGGAGAAGTGGAGGATTTCATGCGACGTATAATAGAAGTTATCACTTGATATGATGGAGGTTGTGTGTCAAATGGATAGGATGGTTCATCGAAAGAAGGTATCCAAGAAGGAATAGTGAATCGTTTATTTGGATAAAGGGCAGAAAAAGTATGACTAAAGTACTCGGTGCACCGTGTAGCAGAAAATGATGGCAGAAGTGATGACTTACTTTGAAAAAAGCGTTTGACGTAACTCCAGAAATAATGGAAACATTTCATTTTCAATTCAACCTAAACTACAATTACAAATCTCACTATTACAAGGTAATTTGTAATTGGCTGGCCTGGTTTTACAAGAAAAACTACAACAATCGTAAGGTAAAAGGAAAAACTGAGAAAAAAAAATAAAACAACTAAAGTTAAAAAGGATGTAATTCCGGATTTGTCCATGGCTTATTTTTGCAACAAAATATGTAGTACGTAGTATGGATGGCAATGTTGGAAAGTTTAGAAATGAGATACCGTTTTTGTTGCTGATCGATGGAGAGAGAGTCACACATTTTGAAGAATGAATTGCAGGAGTTGCCGAAGATGCCAAGAGTGCTCATAGAAAGATTAACAAAGGAGACACATTTGAACTGCCTCTGTAAACCAGATAAGAGAGAAGCATACTTGCTGTGTTTTCTTGTTGCATTTGTTTCAAGATTGGATTCAAAACCAACAGTAAGCTCTAAGATGTATAGGAAATTAGTGTTAGTCAGGGCGAAGGTTTCCCCAGTTATGATTGATGGTGAACGAAAGCCAGGTATATCAGCGTAGATGGTAGATTCATTGACAGCTTTTAGTGACGTAGCTAGAAAGTTTAGGATAGAGTTATGTCGCCAGGTGTATCGGCCCATAATTGGTGATCATCCAAAGGAACTTGATGTTTTCATTGGGCGAGGATTTGAGTGAGTTTCGAATAACAGTCTGGCACTGTTGAACTTTTACGGAAGGTAGCAGAAGTTCAAAGCCAAAGTGTTTACGAGAAAAAACTATGCCACTCAATGTCGAAGATATTGGAAGCTCAAGCCACTGTCGAACGAATAATAATGATAATAATTTTTTAAACCAGTTCTCATTTCATTTTGAAAAACATAAAACTTACAAACCTCACTATTACAAGGTAGTTTGTATGTGTCACACTCGCATTGAAAAAGCAAATACAAGTGCAAAAGATGAAAGAAAACGGTTGTACACAGCATAAATATAAGCATGATGATGTAGCAGCGTTTCTGGAAGGAGGCAAAAAGAACAAGTGGAGGTTACAGATAAGTTCCATTTAAAGAGATTATTCCTAGTGGCAATCGTGTTGTCGGGGTATCTTATCGAGAAGTTAAATATTTTTTTAGGCAAAGAGCTTTGTGCAGTTGACCAGAGGCTATTGAAATGTTTCAGAGAATTCTCTAATAGAAATGAGATTGCTTTGCAAGCTGGTTTTTTTAGTTTGTCTTCCTGCTGGCTTCTAGTTTCTTTCAAAACTGCCTTTGTGTTCATTCATTGATCATGTTGGATATTTTTTCCGTATGAGGTGTTTTGCCAAAGATGTTTGATTTGATCATGTTTCGAGTGCTTTAGAGACCGTCGATAGGTGACTTGGCACTGAAGGAATTTGCAAGATGGAAGCTGAAAGTTAAGACCAAAGCTGTTTTAAACAGTCGCAAGGTCTGTAAACCAGTTGGTGGCGTTTTCATTTTTATCCAGAGCGGAGCAATGTGAACGCTTTATCGTTTTCACACCATTATCAAATGTATCCGGAATAGTGTGAACAGGTAAAACGGATCGATATGAAAGCGGATAAGAACGAATACGGAGCAATGTGAACATAGCTTAAAAGTTTTGATAATGAAATTATGGAAACCTTCGTTTACAAGGGATTTTTTCCATTTTCAAAATTTCTGTTAGTTTCGAATTTGGTATCACTGTGTGCCTTGAAAGTTCTGCTACTTGAATGTAAAATAATCGAAAAATGAATGTTTTCATCCAGAAAACGTTTACCGTAACCTTACTGAATTACCGTAAATCCTCGCATTGCCCCCCCCCCCATCGAATAAGCCCCCACCATAGAACTACAGATTGTCAATAAGCCCCCTCGAATAAGCCCCCACTGCTACCGTAAATTCTCGAATTGGACCCCTCCATTTGATGATTGTTGCCATCGAAGGTTGCCTATATGGCGTTTTATTGAATTTCCACAACAAATTCATACTTTTGGTAGTATTTAATTAAATCCTCATGAGGAAATTCCTACTAAAATAAACGAGGTCTTTTGGTATTGTCTTCTTAATGTCTGCAAAAACTTTATAAGTCTCCCCTCATAAAAGCCCTCTTCTCCCCTCGAATAGGCCCCCATCCAAAAATATCAAAAATAAATAAGCCCCCAGGGGGCTAATTCGAGGATTTACGGCAAACGTTTTCTATTTTCTAAACTTTCAGAATTTCTAAGAAATTTTCATTTTGTGCATTATAGTGTTTAGATATCAGTTATGCTCAAATTATATCAAACAGCGGAATGTATATGGTAAGTATGATATTTGATCATAGGAGATGGAGTTTATTTTCTCTTTGGGGGAAACAAGTTTTGGTTTGGTTTGGTTGCGACGGAATTTGCCAATCCGAGGCTGCCTTCAGCCCTGCCGCTCGTCCAATCAAGATCGAGAATTGGAAGGCATCGAAAAGAAATCTCCCCCATTTTGATGCTGAATGCAAGCAGTAGTAACGAAACACGTTTATATCGAAGAAAATTGGTTCCGACTCATTCCACTTGTCCACTATGTCCTTTCGGTTTGGAAAATATAAAAATAAAGCTTTAGACACTTCTGAATTGCGAAGGCGACGGGAGGAATCTGGTATACAAATTAGAAAAGCGAAAAGAGAAGAACAGGTTTGTACCCTGACCATTGCCTCTGTTCTTATTATCTGGCTTTTAATCGTTGATATGTTTGCCTGTAAGCAAGTTACTGGAAATTCAAAAAGTTATAAAGCACTAGTTGCTAGTTGTGGGTGCATTTTATAACTGTACTTTACGTCGATTCCAGTAGTATCTCAATTTAGGCCACTTGGCCTACCCTTTTTTATCGTAACATAGTGTATTATATGTAATCACTAGCTATATTCAGCATTCAAGAATACATTTGCTGATTTTAGTCAAATATTCTCAAATTTTTTCAACTTGTGCCGAAATAAATTTTTGAATTATTCCAAAGGACACCGTATGCCAATTCTCTTAGAGAAAGTAGTAGAATGTTTAAAGCATTCAGTATTTACAGTTGGGTTTAACCTTCATAAACATAACATTGTCTTTTGTTATTGTTCTTCTTGAAGAGTGTAAAGCAGGACAGTTTTATGCTGTTACTCTGAGGTTAAGACTAAATGTGAAAATCAGGAAACTTTCATACAATCACCATGGTTACTTTTATTTTGGATATTAATGAAATTTTAAAAAAGGTGCAGGAAACTCAGATTGATTCTTTGATCAAGTTTGAACCTGACTTTTCTTAATTTTTTCCTAAATTCATAGAGCCTTAAGCCACAGTTATCTTAATGAACTGTGTTCACATGTTGTATCTCACATTTGGCTGTACAGTAAACAGATAATTAGCAAGTAGCAGATCATCAGTTCTTGTTATAAAAAATGAAACACATGGATCTGCCAAAGTTGAGAAGAGTTGGTTAATGGTTAATTGTTTTTAACTGGAGTTAATGTAGTTGGTTTTTGAACTGAATGATCCAGAAAAGGTCTAGCAATTTTTTTGTTCAAAAAGAAATCCAAGTTAGGGAGAGGGGCCAATTGACATCGGTTTGCAAAACGATAAAAAATTTCACTATGATAAGGAAAATAAATAAACAGGCAATTGAATGTTCTTTGTTAGTAGAGCTAACCTTGTTGATGGCATTAATCTTCTCAAGGTAAAGAAAACGTGATTGGTATTGACAACTTAGTTAAATAACTTTAACACATAGCTTATCATAATGCAAATAGATGTTGTAAATCGCATACCATAGACACAGATAGATAAAATGTATTACAGAAGTTTGTGTCAGCTTCTAAAGAATTTTAGGTGATTTTTTTAAATCAGGAAGGCCTGTAGTTATAATCAGTTTTACCTGGTGGTCAACTTTCATTCAATGCTATTTCTATTCTTTGTATGATGTATAGTTCTTTGTTATAGATCTGATCCAGGTGACCTACTTGTTTGCAATTTAATCACTGCTGCTCTTATTATCCAACTCCTACTCATTTGTAGCCCTAGATGCCTTTGTTATTTAAACTAATTTTCTGAATAATGATTTGTCTCATGCAGACTTGCAAGAAAATTGTTTACCAGTCAAACACACTTAAGATTTACCTAAAATGCATAGAATAAAAAAATCCTTCTACCTTTGTTATATATATATATAAGTATCTTTGAAAAGTTTGACATTTCTCCTGCCTACTGAGTTCTAGCTTTGGATTTTTAGATTTCTTTAGTTTTTCTTTTTGCTAATAATAAAAGTATATACCTTTATAATATCTTTGTGAAAATATGTTCTTCTCACTGCTCCTTATTTTCTAAGGCTTCAAAGATATTACCAGAGATGATTGAAGGGCTTTGCAGTGGAAATTCTGAAATTCAACTTGCTGCCGCACAGAGATTTAGAAAAATCTTATCGGAAGGTGAGTCTTTAAAGAGAACTGACAAAAAAGGAACTTTTCCTAAAATTCTAGTTTGTGATCAGCAAATTACAGTAACAAAAAATCTCAAGATCTATACACAAGTAACAAATTACAGTAACAGGTGTCTCAAGTTGTGAAATGACAAGCTTCACACCAGCTTGAAACAAAGTGAAAACCGTTATATTTGATGTCACAAGTGACATTTTCTCAGCTCGTATTGTATTTCTCTAAAGAAACTTTTAGGAAAATGCTTCAGACAAATGTTTATTTTGTGCATGTATACAAAGAGTTAATATTGCATTTTTGACAACTAATTGGCTTTTTCAATGGATTGGGACTCTGAAACAGAGTTTTATTACACTGATTTCGAAACAACTGGAAAAAGTCGGCCATCTGAGTTTGTGCCACCAGACAGTGCTGCCACTTGTTCAGACTGTCATCAAATGGCTCAATGATGATGATATTATGAACAAAAAGCAGACAGGAAGTATGAACAGATAAGGAATTTTTATTAAAAAAATTGATATTCCTACAATTTAAATAAGACCAGGTATCATAAAGATGGCCTAAGGAGCCTAATTCTTTGAAATGCCTATGATGACCTAAATGGAATTGCAAGTTATTTACCATTAATGCAACAATCTATGATCTGTTTTTACTGTTACAAACACGATAATTGTATCCTGATATTAACTATTAAAGAAAGGTTGAAAGCTATACTTGTGTGGATGATATTCCATTTTTACTGGGTATGAAGGGTTTCAAGAAATGATAAGGGGCTGAAACAGTCATTAGCTCCCATCTCCTTTCCAAAATCTGCTGTATTGGCTCTGGTCTCTTCGCGAAATCTGCCTACATTAGCCCCCATCTCCTTTCTAAAATCTGCCTGTATTGGCTCCCATCACCTCACTAAATCTGCCTGTATTTGCTCCCATCTGCTCACGAAATCTGCCTGCATTTGCTTCCATCTCCTCTCTGAAATCTGCCTGCATTTGCTTCAATCTCATCACTGAAATCTGCCTGTACTGGCTTCAATCTCATCACTGAAATCTGCCTGTATTGGTTCCCATCTGCTCACTAAAATCTGCCTGCATCTGCCTTCCATCAAAATCTGCCTGCATTTGCTTCAATCTCATCACTGAAATCTGCCTGTACTGGCTTCAATCTCATCACTGAAATCTGCCTGTATTGGTTCCCATCTCCTCACTAAAATCTGCCTGTATTGGCTCCCATCTGCTCACAAAATATGCCTACATTAGCTCCTACCTCCTCTCTAGAATCTGCCTGCATTTGCTCCCATCTGCTCACGCATCTCCCTGCATTAGCTCCCATTTCCTCTCTAAAATCTGCCTGCATTTGCTTCAATCTCATCGCTGAAATCTGTCTGTACTGGCTTCAATCTCATCACTGAAATCTGCTTGCATTAGCTCCCATATCCTCCCTAAAATCTGCCTGCATTTGCTTCAATCTCATCACTGAAATCTGTCTGTACTGGCTCCCATCTCATCACTGAAATCTGCCTGTATTGGCTCCCATCTGCTCACGAAATTTGCCTGTATTTGCTCATATCTCCTCTCTAAAATCTGCCTGCATTTGCGTCCATCTCCTCTCTAAAATCTGCCTGTATTGGCTTCCATTTCCTCACAAAATCTGCCTGTATTTGCTCCCATCTGCTCACGAAATCTGCCTGCATTTGCTTCAATCTCGTCACGAAATCTGCCTGCATTTGCTTCAATCTCATCGCTGAAATCTGCCTGTTTTGGCTCCCATCTCCTCTCTAAAATCTGCCTGCATTTGCTTCCATCTCCTCTCTAAAATCTGCCTGCATTTGCTTCAATCTCATCACTGAAATCTGCCTATATTGGCTTCCATCTCCTCTCTAAAATCTGCCTGTATTGGCTCCATGATCAACATATAAATCTATGTTTGCTACAATTAATAGATACAAGATGAGCGAAAAGATAAGTAAACTATTTCAAGAAAAATAGCATGCAATATGTAGCTTTTTCACAAATTTATTAAAAACATCTGACTAAAAATATTAAAAACTTTTGAGACCTGGATGTCAATCCAATACTCGATGAATTAGTTGCAATAAGTGGGCTATTTGCAACATGCTTTTTTGCCATGGGTCGTGTTTGTCTTCTAGTTCTGACTTAACAGGGTATATTTATTGAGAGTTATATTATTACAACTTATGCCCAATCCGTTGCATTTTTTTGCAGAACCCAATCCACCAATCGATGAAGTTATAGAGACAGGTGTTATACCTAAGCTTATCCAGTTTCTGCAACAGGAAGAAAACAGTGTTTTACAGGTTGGCTTTTGCCATACATTAGCTAAAAGTATTAGCTTTGATTGTTCATTTCATCACGCGTCATCAACAGTGTGAATCTTATCAGCAAATGAAAGCCTTAGTCACATCCATGTTCCATGTTTTTGAAGGAAGAGTTGCTTGAAACCAGCCGTTAATACCAAATTATTAAAGCGTACAATAGCTATGATACAGGATCGTTTTAAGATCCAGGTTGGGTTATAAATATTTTTGCGTCTTTCTAGGTTGTAAAATGTCAACATCGTTCTATTTTAACAGTTTGAGGCAGCTTGGGCATTGACAAACATTGCGTCAGGAACTTCGCACCAGACCAAGATTATCGTTGATGCTGGAGCGGTGCCAATATTTATTTCGCTGCTACATTCAACACACGAAGATGTCCAGGAACAGGTAGTTGTAAAAGCCAGTCTTGACAAGTTGACACTGGCCTGTCTTTATGATTTCATTTTGCAGGATTATGTTGTTATTTTTTGTTTTGATTTTGCATCGTTCTCATTTGCACTGTAAGCGTTTTACATGATGTTCTCTTTGAGATTCTAATTACGAGAGTTTATGTTGCTCAAATTAATCTAGCATGCTGTGGCATTCATCTAAGTGTTATTATTATTGCTGTTGTTATTACAACTTTAAGACCCAGACCCCAGGAGATTTGACTGGTGATGTAAACAACAGCATGGCACGCTAATTTTGTCCACACTGTAATTGTTATATTGGCAATATTCTATTCAATATTCACTAATCGATTTCTTTCACTTAAAACCTTTTATTACAACTAAGAAAGTGGGGAGGATGATGTCGTGTCTTTTTCCTTGGTATCGTTTCGAGTGGCTTGGAGTAGCAAAATTACTATTTGCTATTCCTAATGGTTTGATAAATTTTAGTGCACTGGATAAAACCTGAGGCTGTTTGATGAAACACCATGTTATGTATGACATAATCGACATCTAGATGAGTGTTTGTACGAGAATCATGGTTTTGTAGGCTGTTTGGGCACTTGGAAACATTGCCGGTGATGGTCCTTTGTGCAGAAATTATGTTCTTGATCAAGGAATCATGCAACCGCTGCTTGAGTAAGGAAATTTTCCTTTTATTGCAATTAAAAGAGCGTAGAGAACACAATAGAATGATTTTCTCTTACTTCCCTGGCTTGACAAGGCAATAAGTTTCACAGCTTACTCTTCTAAATTCGAAAGAATTATTTTGTACATGGAAAGCCTCAATCAAGCTTTCTATGTACCCACTCAATACCTTGATGCAAAATATCGTCTTGTTGTGTCTTTCTGACTCCACAGCCTCTTAAATCTCTCTTCCTCACATCGGCGTTACTTTCCAGATTCTTCTTACGTTGAGATTTCGAAACACTGTTTTGTCAAGGATGGCCTTATATATGCCTGTTGTTGTCACTGATTATTCTGCTGTGTTCATGTTTACGCAAAATTTTTTGCAAACTTCCATTATTTTTATTTTAGTTTACTCAATCGATGTTCCAAAAGCTCAATGATCCAAAACGCCGTCTGGTGTCTTTCAAATCTGTGCCGAGGAAAAAGCCCGCCCCCTGATTTTTCAAAGGTGAGGTGTAATAGTTTTGTAAAATTTTAAACTTAAATAAACACACCTCAATGGATTGCTTTCGGAGTAGAGCTGCTTGGAATAACATTTTTACTCCTAAGTGATATTTTTGGTAGCAGTCATATCACCTCGTTCTACTTTTCCACACTGTCCACACTGCAGTACACTTTATCAATCTGTTGTATAAAGCTCGCAAAAATCTGTCATTTTGTGATCACTTTTCTCTATATAAACAAATTCAATTACAAAACAGACATATTTCATAACTCTACTCTAGAAATATAATAACTTTTCAATTCAGATGTGATGAATGCCTTCACTCGGGATAAACCAGGTGGAATATTAATGAAAACTTTGAAGAATTAAAATGTAAGACCGCAAGCATAACTGAAGAGTTCCCTCCGCTTCATCACCGGTGCAGTTATTTACAATTTAAAATAACAAGAAATAAAATAGCTGCAACGTAATTTAGGGTGTTTACACATTTACGAAAATTAACTATACAAGACGATACCATAACGGCTTTTACAAACAAGAAAGAGCAACAAAATAGACAGAAAAGAGTAAAGAGAAAAGAGGAAGGTTCAGCTTTCTGAGCAGCTCTTGAAAAGAAAGATTAAATAATGATCATGCGATTGATTGAGTAAATTGATTTGTAGTTGTAATATATTTCATGGTTTCTAGCAGTTTATGCTTATCAGAAGTATCACGAAACTTGGTAAAGAAGTAGCGAAACCGTAAAGAAGTAGTGAAACCAAATAAATCTCATTTAAGCTGCAAATATCGTATAGCATGGATATGTCTGATAGTTTGTCAATTGAATGGGCCTCTGTGTGTGTTTAGTGTTAATAGCAGAGCAGCAAGAAATGGGCAGTATCTTCTACACTATCATTAAACTGGCACATCGGTCGATTCGCTGAGTTGAGTTGATTGCACCATCATTTTGTGATCTGGTCGATGCTGTTTGTTTTTATCAGATAGATTGCCACCAGCTCTTTATCGAGATATATAAAATGGCCAGTAACCTGAATCCAACTATAATGAACATAACCTGTAAGAACATAAGCATATGTCCATGAGATTATCGCATTTATTTCTGAAAACATTTCGTTTTAAAATCAACCTATACTACAATTACAAATCTCATAATTACCAATAGGATATTATCTGTTTATCGAAAAGTGTTGCAAGCACGAAAAGAACGGAAATCCTGTCGCTTTGAACTATGGTCCGCATTTTGAAGTCATATGGAGAGAGTAGGAGATGATGAAAGGAAGTACGTTCAGATGTAAGATAGATTGCTTTTAAAACTGTTTAGTGTATGCAACTCCATAGTGCTTGAGTTTTTGGCATAAAAGTGCACTATTGACTGTATCAAAGGCCTTTCCACGGTCAATAGAAAACTGAGCTGCTCATATAGCCATTGACGGTACTATCGTACCTTATATCAGTTGTTAAAAAGACTTGTCAATGTCGAGAATGGAAATCTCGGTCAATCTGGTTTTTACCATTTGCCCTAAAATCGACTGCTTTTTTAAACTTATATTTTATAAAGTTTTTGAGTTCTTCTCTAATCCAAGGGCTGAACTTTTCACAAACTATCATTTATCGTAGTTCTGCATGCCCTCCAATAATAATCTTAGAAAACAATTTGGACCAATCGGTTGCAAGGATAATAACATCATTCGAATCTCCGATTGCTTGTTCCCAAGGTTTTGCAGCAAGATCCCAAGAAAATCCCACTCGTTAAAGTTTTTCAAAGACTTTTGATCGTTTTATATTCGTTTTGTGTCCTTCTTGTAAAGCACCAGTAAGTTTTTTGACTCAGAAAACCATGTTACAGTCTTTCGTGAAGATTTAAAGCACTTCCAGACTCAACAATGCTACTTGGGGATCACCAATCTGTTTTCTCCAAGGATCTCCAAGGGAACTCCAAGGATCTTTTTAATTTATTCAAGGATTCTACTGGATCACTGGGAGCATATCAGGCAACAATGGTGGAAGATCGACTTTTAGGGGGCTCAATTTCAATACAATCGAGTTCCCTTGTCGTTTATTTGAACGTCGTTTCGTGGATGATACTTAAAATAGTTTTTTATACAAATTGCAATACGACCACTATTTCCGTCCTATCGTCTAATCTGATATTCCTCAACACCAATTACATCTTTAGGAACATCAGGTTTTTGTTCAGTCTCATTTAGTGCTAACACGTGTGTACGTAGCTCGTTGGTCAGGGACTAGATCTCGTCAAAATGCAGTTGTGAACTATTAACGTTCAGCGATGCAACTCAGAGACTCTTTCTTAATGCAAGAGGCTGTTGTTAAGACATTTTATATTTCTACAGGAAAACGGTGTTTGACTTTTTTTATTAGTGTCTACTGTTCTGACGTAAGTTTTCCTTAGCCCCCTTCCTCACCACAATTTTAAAACGCTAGTAGTCACCTACGTATTTCTCTGAAAAAATATTTTGCCAGGATAGAGAAACCAGCTTGATTCAGCTATCAAGAATGTGTTATGTCAATGTAAGTGTAGAATGTGTTACGGTATGTTTGCTAAAGTGCTGCTTCGATGAAATGTATTAGAAAGTAAAATACTAAAGGGTCAGGACGATTTTCCTTTGGGGATATTTAGCAGCAGGGCCAAAACTTTACCTTTGCTCACTGATGATCAAGAATTATTTCGAAGCTTAAAATATCAAGAAAATGCCGTGTTTTGGAGCGGCGTATATCGGAAACGTTGCGGATTGATGCAAACTAGCGAAGTCACTCCAAGCCGACCCCGTAAAACAAATTTTCATTTTCAACTTGGTTTTTTTACCTAAAAAAATTTTTTTAATGATTTTAGGTGTCACCCTTCCTGCCAACCCTCGCCAAACTGCTATTCCATAGTGACACAGACGTTTTAGCTGATGCTTGTTGGGCAATCGCATACCTGTCCGATGGGCCAAATATGAAAATCCAAGCAGTCATAGATGCTGGAGTTTGCCGAAGACTTGTCGAATTACTAACGTGAGTTTTTCCATTCTGTAGACCTGGACAAGCTGAGGACAGCTGAGCTCAACCGCCAAGCGTTTCATCAATTTCCATATTGGTTTCCTTTAAGGTCGCATCTCAGCATCGAAAAATTCTAACTAAAGGCTTTAAAATTATATTTAGAATGTTTAATATTTATGTGCAAGGATATGAAAATTACTATCAGAAATGTAATTTACTCAGTTTTTCTACAATTATACTGAGATGATGACTGCTTCCTTTGAGCTGTGAGAGTACTCGTATTCCACAGTTTTACACGCCTATAAAACATTTTAAACTATGCTATTTATTTCTGGCTCAATTTGAGTTAAACGAACCAGGTAAAAACACTTCGTATTGTAAACAAAACCTAGGCGGGTTAACCTCGGTAAGATTTTGCAATAGAAACATTGTATAAGAGTGACATACCGTATTTTCTCTAAGAAACGCCGCGGCGTTTAATACAGGGTGGCGTTTTTCAGAGGGTGGCGTCTGATACCAAATGAAATGTGTGTTAAATGAAAAATGACAAGAAAAGTGCGAATAAAAGATGAAAACGGACTTTAGACAATCTTTTCCTTTCCCAAAAACATGTAATGAAGATTTTGTAAACAATGTTCTAACATTCATAAAAGATATGTTAAGTTTATGGAAATGCCAAAAAATGTCAATGTCAAAAAATGTCTTCGTAAGATCCCTTGTCTATGACATAAAAACTTTGATAGCTTTCAAATCGTAGGCATATAAACTTTTAGTTATTTCTTGTTGTGTCCAATTTCTAAAAACGTTTGTTGCAAATGGTTGGCTGAAAGTGCGGCATCTAATGAAGGACGGCGCTTATTAGAGGGCGGCGTTCATTAGGGGATATACGGTAATTGTTTTTTACTCTCAAGAAATGGGCATTCCTTATTGCATTTCATGGTAACAAGAAATAATCTCTGTGATTTATTGTCGGTGACAATTTCAATAGTTATTTGATTGAAATAGATTTCTGATGCTTTTACTATCAATCGCCCTCTTGTATTTTATTATGTTTTTCGTTTTATTGGAGTTTTGATTGATTTATCATACCACTTACGTTAGGCACCATGCAACAAACGTAGTTTCTGCTGCAGTCAGAGGTGTTGGTAACATTGTCACTGGCGATGACGTCCAGACTCAGGTATATATCATATTGCAGCAGCAACTCAGTCCTTTCTATTGATGACGTCATTCATACATCAAATACATATCACTTTATAAATATACACTGAAACAATTTGGAGGCAGATCATATCCCATGCATTTTTGTCCGTCTTTATGAAGATACTATTTTCAAAATTTTAGTGATTTAATTTCTAACCAGTATGTTTTTAAGACCTTCAATATAGTTCCCAAAGGAATAAAACCAAGAAGGAATTTATGTCAGCTAAACTGTTTTTTCAGCCCCATAATTCAACACTGACCGTCCTGCTAAGCCATGTGACTTTCATTCATGGCTAGATGTACCCTCCTAAGGGTATCTAAATACCTTAACTGTTTTATAACTTTTTATTTTCGGATATAAGCCAACTCTACTAATTTCTGGAAAAATACTTTCTAGGTGATTTTAAACTGCAATGCATTGCCCTGCTTGTTGCATCTTTTGGGGAACGTTCGAGAAACAATTAGAAAAGAAACCTGTTGGACAATTTCGAATATAACCGCCGGAAATAAACAGCAAATCCAGGTAATTTTTTTCCTTGCGAAGTCGTTAAGCCTTGGCAGTTTGTTTGTTTATGATCAGTCGTTAAACAAACATTACCAGTGTATAATATATAACAGAATGGCCTAAATCCCTTGGATTGATTATTTTTCAACTACTTGCAACTTATTTTATTCCAGGCAGTGATCGACTCAAATATTATCCCTGCGCTAGTTGATATACTATGCAACGCTGAATTCAAGACGAGAAAAGAAGCTGCCTGGGCGATAACAAATGCAACCTCCGGAGGGACGAGCAAGCAGATTAAGTAATTTATTTATTTTATAAATATTTTGTTTCTGCTCATTTTTTGACAAATTCAACTTATAAACTATTCGTAGGTACGATATTGCATCGTAACAACACTTCCTGTTTTTTACTTTGATCGATTGTTTTAGCTTTGTAAGTGTTTTGCTCATAAATATTTTGTTTATAAGTTGAAACGTTTCAGTCAAGCTCATAGAAACCTATTCTCCTTGTTTGAATAAGTTTTAAAAATCCGACACTCTATGAGAGTCTTGCGTTGATTCTTGCTCCAATGCTTCTAAGCTTGCTTTTTAACAGACCGGTAATCTCTAAGCAACTGGCTTTTATCAAATTATCCTTCCCTTAGCAATTGTTTGATTGAGTTAGAAATATGGAGCTAGCATTATCAAGCAAGTATTTATCGATGTTGTTCGTTTTTAGATATATTGCTTCGCAAGGCTGCATAAAGCCTCTCTGTGACCTTCTATCTGTAATGGATACAAAAATCGTTCTTGTTGCTTTGAATGGACTTGACAATATCTTGAAGATCGGCGAGAAGGAGGCCAAGTCAATAGGATCTCCAAACAGATATGCATTGGAAGTGGAAGAATGTTTTGGTAAATATTTTAGTTAATTTTCATGTATGACATCGCCAGGCTTAATTGGCCAGCAAAGGTATTTATTTAGTTTTCATGCTTTATTTATCCTTCGCGTTGTTGCCTTCATCGAAAAACATGCATGCCCCGGCCGAAGGAACAGTCTTTCCCGCATCGCTTAGGTATGGACAGTCAGGAAGCCAAGGTAAACTTATGATTACTTTTTACTTAAGCTAGAGAGAACATTTATCCCTTTAATATGAACAAAGTTTTTACTTCTATTTATGCTGCAAAGCCCCAAAGTCCGTCATTTGATACAGGCATCCAATGCTTCTAGCCCTGCTCACAGGACAGCCTGTAATTTGGGCCTGCTCATTAGTATGATACCCTGTTTCTGATCCATTCAAGGAATGTGCATTTGAGGGATTTTAGTAAGCTAGCAATCAAATTAGGCAAAAGTTGTAACAGTGACGACCAGTGTTCTCAAAGAAAAGTGGCTACGCACCAAGAAAGATTTGCAAAGCTTGATTTATCATTACAGTTGGTGCTTTTCGTCTATTTTTTTAGATCTGTTTATTGCCATGTAACGTAGAGTGTGAGGGAATTTAAAACCCCCTTGAATTGCACCTAAGAATGTGAAGCTTGTTGTTGTCAGTTGCGGAGAATGTTTATGATTCCATATAACACTCTGCATCAAAAACATACCAGCTTATTTGTATTGAAATTGGCTTACTCACTAGAAAAACCTATATCATTAAAAATTCACAATATCCATTCACCATTAACTTGGCAAGAAGTTCATTATTGAGAAATTGATTTGCAACAATGAATTTTGATTCGTAGCAGTCGTCTCTTTAGTTAGGGCGGGGCCCCGTTACAGCAGGATCAACTATTTGGGCCAACATCGCCACAGTGTATTGCCACATTTCACGAGGCAACTTAGTGTATTGCCACATTTCACAAGGCAACGAAGTTTGTTAAACTTAGTGCTTCTTTTCCAGGTATAGACAAGATCGAATACCTTCAACAGCATAGCAATGAGGACATTTATAAAAAGGCATACGAGTTGATAGACACTTATTTCAAGGAGGACGAGCCGTTAGAGGTCGACGCTGTTGCACCTCAAATAGAAAATAACGAATTTACATTCTCGCAGAACCTTCCTCTGCCCCAAGGAGGATTCAACCTGTAATGAAGAGGACATGAGAGTTACCATATCTCTCAACCCTCGATGCGCTTGCATGTTGATATCATGCCAGCATATTGCCTTAACACGCTATACGTTGCGTTCTCTTGCGCTTCGCCTGCGCGTTGTCTGTGCGTCTTTAACGGTCGATAGGCAGATTTGGTAACGCAATCTTCCCAAGGGTCATTCTTGTATTGCAATTTTTATCTTCATTTCCTGGGTGAAAGCTCTTTTCTGTCACATGTGCAAACATTTAATTAACCAACTGATATCAATCGAAAAATTTTCCATATGATTTTAATTCTTTTACCCGAAAGCCACAAGCCACGTCCGTCGTTGCATCTGTTGAAGTTTTAAAGTTGCTTCAGAGACGATAGACTGTCCAATGCTATTTCAAATAGATAGAATGTACATGATAGATACGGGCTTGAAAGGCCTCAAGTTATATCTCATTTAATGGTTGTTAAATGATATGCTTAACGTATATTCCCGTTTAAATTCCCTTCTTCCGTGATCTTTGCAAAGCCAATGGAGGAAACTCGACGTTTTCACGGCAGACAGTGCCCAATAAAAGTCACTTTTCATAACAAAGTAGTAGCCATGTTTTCTTTCAAACAAGCCCTCGTTTTTGCCAATTGGGTTAAGTGTTATTACAATGGTGGATATTATGGCTATTCCGTTAATTTTCACGTGGTTCAAATTGTTAGTTCTCTGATTTGCTTCTACCAACAGCCTTCATCAGTTTCAAGTTAGGCAGCCTTTTATTCAATGGGGCCATTGTGGTATTTGAGAGCAATCAGGAACTGGCTCGTAACAGTAAATTGCTCGGCCTTTCATAACGATGGCAAAGCCACTTCTATATATTGACAGCTTTGATAGACTCTATTGTTGCTTGATAGTATTGTGAATTTTGTTCACATTGCTAGCGATCGTAGCTTACTGGCTTGTCTAAATATAAGTTTCCCGTCAATTGTATTATCCTCACCTTGTTGCAGTTTGGACGCTCTGAAGGAGTAGCAATGTTGATAAATGTGTTTGTGTATCGTAGAAGCAACTGCCTGCATCGTTTTCTACAAGAAAGACATTGTACAATTTTTCAATTTCCTGTCCAAAATTCTAATTTTCTATGAAAGTGAAGACTGGCGTTTTTAGACGACAATTATCTAGTTGAATTATAAAATTTAATACTGTTACTTGTCTTATTTCATGTTTGTCTGTTACCTTGTTTCATTTTGCGATAGTTTTGAGGACCTGCGAATTATATCCTTGCCAATTATCACACTTGCGTCGGTTTCTCGCACGTCACTTTTTTGAGCCCTCTACTTTAAAACCGTCTGAAATCAATTCTAAAACAGTTTTTATCATGAGAATCTTTTATATCAAGTGTTTCAACCCAAGAATTGAGCTTTATTGTAAATTCAACATCTAATGTGGGACCAGCTCTCTTGATGTAAGAAAATTTCATGGGAATACCAATCGTAGACGATCTCGGACACAGTTGGACCTATGATCACGTGGGTTTGATGTACCAACTAGACGCCATATCCATTGGTCGCTTTAGCGCTATCCTTTTTCGGAGTTGTTTTTGTTTACCATCACTTACGCCAGTCACCAAAAAAACGTTGTCTTACGCTGCTGACTGGATAGGTAGCAATAGACCTAACTTTTGGATAGGAAATTTTAATGGCCATTGAAAATGCATTGAGACATCGTGCCTTTACCTTCGAAAAGAACGCAGAGACCTTCCGTGCATCCATGCATGTTTTGTGTGCTGAGACAACATACACAATAAATATGATGAATAAAACAGGAGATATGACAGAACACTGTTGAACATCAACAACATCGTTGATGATCGACATCATCAGAGTCAAGATTGGGGTGGTAGCCATCATTCTAATTGCAAGAGGAAACCCTTGTGCAAGACATCCTGAGAGGCTTCACAGGGATAACTGTGATCTTACCAAAGGATGCAAATGACCTAATTACAATAGAAGATCCCGTGACAAACATTTTATTAGTGACCAAAACGTGTTTGATGGTTTAGAGGAAGCTTGTGTGAAGTCTCTTGAATATGGCTGCCCATTTGTAGCAATATTTAATAAAATGTGTTATTCATGCAATACCCGATTCAATACCCGATTCAATACTTGTTTTAATTGTAAAATTCTTCATTTGAATGAAGATTTGATGTAAAACCTATAATAAATACAAAAATCTGTATTCAATTCAATAAAATGTATTTAATTCAAAAGTCTTATTCCATGCAAAGAAGTGTTTTCAGTGCAGAAATATATTCAATACAAAAAAACGTATTCGAAGCAAAAAGGCATTAAATGCCAAAAATGTGCTCAATGCTTAAAAAAACGTAGCTATTCAATGCAAAAGAGCTGTTCAGCTTAGAAAATATGTTCATTATGAAGAGACTGGGGAGAGTGCATCTTTCCCATGTGCTTCGTTTTTTATTAGACAACCCGCTCGAGTCACAAGACGGCACAAGTGAGAACACAAAAATGGCTGATAAAGATGATATAACCAACAAGGCTGCTGATCTGCTGGAGGAGGCATCACAACTTCTCAGAAGTAGGACGAGGATAAACTTCTGTATCAGAGCCGCCACCAAGAAGTAGGCGTAGCCCAAGATAGCCACTGAACACTCAAAATGACAACAGCAGATCAAGTAGGCAGCCCGAAAGACAAACAATCCAGACAACACTTTATCAGGCAAGAAATATGGTAGAAAAAGTTCAGCAGCTGGTTTATTCAGAAGGATAAACAGAAATGAAGGACTGAGGGCAGCCTCAGCTTCCCCATCGGGTCTTGATAGAGACAGGACTGTAGGATACACACATCAAAGAAAAAGTAAACCATTTCCGTTTGTCATGCTCAAATGTTTTCAGGAGGACGGCGTGGAAGAGTTTTATGACAGTTTCACCTTAAAATCAGATTCGATCATTGCAAATAGAATGTTGGTCGTTTATGCAGATGACAGTGAAAGTACAATCAGGAAGTTATCACACAAGCATTGGTGAATACATTCCAATTGTTGGGGGAAGAAGATTATGAATTTGTCAAAGTGCGTCAAAAGAAAATGTTGACTGTTCAACTTGGTCCTGGGGCAGAATTCAATTATCGTGCACTTTAAAAAGTTGCTGAGCAAGGTCAAACATGTTGAAATCAAAGAGGGCTATGAGTATATATACAGAAATTATGATCCAATAGTCCTCTCTGGTCTTGATCAAGATGACAAAGAATTATTAAGACCAGCCTTTGAATTTGATGCTGCTAAAAAGAAAGAAGGCCCCGTTTTTCAAAAACTGGAAGACAGCATTGTTCCCCGTTGCTCCTAAGGTAGAAGCTAGTGTTGTGTCAAAAAAGATGTCACATACCACTGATAAAATTGAAGAAATCATCTGTGAAATTGAAACCAAAGGTCTAATGAATACTGTGTTCTCAGGTTATTACTAGCTTCTAGAAAAGACTGATGAAGGGAAGACAGTAGGATGTGATTGATCTGACTGATGCTGTTGATGGATAAACCAACTACATCTATGTAGAAAGACAAAACATCCTCACAACGACCTTTTATGAATTTCAAGCAATTAATGATTTCAGACAGACATTTGAAGTCGACTTTATGGGGGAAATGGCAAAGGGCTCTGGTGGTCCGAGAAAGGAATGGATCCAACTCATCAATGTCAAAATAAAGGAGAAATATTCTGATCACGGGCTCCAGGCTATGCTGGAAACTGATTACTACTTTTTTGGAGTTATGATTGGGTATTGCATTACTGCAGAATGGCTAGCTTCCTAGGTTCATGCCAAATTATCTCATTGAAAATCTTTTGGTATTTCCCAGTACGAATAGTTGCCATAGGCCCCGATTTTCATCTATCCCTTTTAAAAAATGTGATAAAACAGTGTTTGCAAGATTGTTTGTGCTGCATTTCAAGAATATAATTTTTCTCGACTTTCTGTCGATGCAGCCATTGTATCACGAACTTTCATCTAATTAAAGAATGATGTCCGTTTAAATGCCACAATGAATTTAGCCAAAGAACACTATATGTCCTCCGTAACACCAAGTCACCCCACCTCAGAGCTGCATTTCGAGGATCCACCCTGTTGATGCTGCTTCGTACTCTTCTTCGCTGCACATGCATCTCCACTGATTTTAGATATGGCTCTCCAGTAGTCGAACCATGCCTAGAAATAAAATCCAAAATGATTTCATCGAGCCTATCATCAGAAATATCGCTGAACTGCTGTAGATGGGTCAATCCATATTCTTCAACTCCGCAGGATATCGTCCACCTAGATACTCCAAGCATTAATGCAGTTTTGCTCTAGGAAAAATTCATACCATGCAATTCCTCCAAGGTTTCTGTTGGTATTGACAAACGAGGTCGACCAACATGTCTTACACGTTTTCCTGGAATTCTCAGCGCATGGAAAGTGTTAAATTTTGATGACAAATTTAAATGTAAATCTTCGAGATCTTTTCTAAGCATGTTGAGCACATGTTCTAGATCTGAGCATAATATTCCATCATTCACACTTACCGGCGTATTATTGATAAAAAGAAATGTATCGCTGAATTGAGCAATACAGATTTGAACTGAATACAGATTTTCGGATGCATTTTGTTGTATTGATTACATGTTTTACATTAAATCTTCCTTTAAATGAAAAATTTTACAATTGAAATAAGGATTAAATCGGAAATTTGCTTGAATAGAACTTTTATTGAATATTGCTACAAATGGGCAGCCATACTTGAAATGATTCCTATGTCTATGTGAGGAGTTTTACGGCGATGGTGGTCTTCATAGTTTTAGATATAAATGAAGTTGCGATTTGTCCCCCATTAACGGAATAGGATACATTTAGGCTAGTCTGCAGGAAGAAGGAAATACACCGGAGAAATCGAAGTGCGAAAGGAGTTTGTCAAGCAAAGGAACGTTTTAGGGTACAAGTGTTGCGATGCTTCATCTAGAGGTGTAAAGGATGGGCACGAATTTTGCAGGCTTAGGAATTGATTGCTGGAATCGAGATGGCCCATGATCATCACAATTTGCATTGGACGCAACGATTGATACAGTGAGGTTTTCTTTGCCAGACGCAGTGATAGAGGAAAGTTCATTGTGATTTTTTAAGGGAGGAAATGGCTGAAATGGTTGTGCATTGCTAATGGTTTTGGATTGCTGATGGTTTTGGATTGCTGATGGTTTTGGATTGCTTATGGTTTTGGATTGCTGATTGTCTTGGATGGCTGATGGTTTTGGATAGCTAATGGTTTTGGATTGCTGATGGTTTTGGATTGCTGATGGTTTTGGATAGCTAATGGTTTTGGATGGCTGATGGTTTTGGATGGCTGATGGTTTTGGATGGCTGATGGTTTTGGATTGCTAATGAATTAGGAGCTTAAGTTGCGATCGAGGACAAAGAAAGCTCTGATGATGCAACTAATGATGATGATGATGATGATGATGATGATAATGATAATGATGATGATGATGCCCAGTAGTTGAAACGGAAAAATTATTATTTTCGCTCTAAAATCATCTTACCTACGCTTCTAGACACAGGATAAAGATCAACGTAATCTTAAGAACAATCTTTTGTACTGTAAAAACCATAACAAACCAAAAGGCTATGACATGATAGTCCAGGTCACTGTATAAATCAAATCTTCGTATAAGAGATGGACTATAAAGCAAGAATATTATTGCATATTGAGTATTAAATAAAAATATATCTGATCCAGCTTTAAACATGATCAAATAAATCAAAATGTTTATTGCATTCACATTCTACCAAGATCACATCATATTTTTCAAAAACCAATTTTTCAAAAAAGCATTGCTTATAAGAATCTAAACCCTAAATTTTAATTATATGCTCATTGTATAAGAACCCAAAAAGGCTTAATTGAAATGATTAAGACCACTTTTGTCATCGGCAATATGTTTTTAACACCTAGTTTGATAAAAGTGCATGACAGAGTGTCCTTCCGAACACCCGATCTCACAATTTCGTGGTTATGTAATGATGGTTATAATGCTAGCAAGGCTAATTCTTGAACAAAAAAGACTTGGCTTCAAGGGTGTTGCTAACTCAAAAAGGCTGGGGTTAACATGAATGAGGGTTTGTTGCAGCTAAGCCTTTCAGACCTCCGAAGAACAGGGTAAACCCCCCTTTAAGCCCTTCAATTTATTCTAAGCCTATCAGACAGTGTTTCTATCTTTGCAGTATTCATCGCAGAGGAAACTATTGCAAAAAGATCAATTGAAACAAAACCTACACTCTATATCTATCTGCTAGGGAGAAAATATGATTTGAATGTCATGAGCAATTAATTGAAAGTTCGATTTAATTTACATCTTTACTGTTTGCAACAATTTTATTTAGTATTGTGTGTTTATTGCTATCAGTATTTGCAAGTTAATATTTTGTTCCAGCCTTTAAGATGTTTGCAAAAGGGTGAAGTCAAACCTTTGGGGGTCAAGAAGAAAAAGAAATCTTCTATTACCAAATATCACCTCTTGTTTATGCCAACTTAGCAAGCCATTTGGCCGTTAACTCGTGCACGAAATATTAATTGGTAGATTCAATTGCCAGTTCGATCTTTCCGGCATTTGGTAGGATGGAGTGGCGCAATGAGTGTATTCGTCTTCTGAAGAAGAAACTATAACAACGTCACAGTAATTGCTGATAATGTTAAGATGCAAGGAAATATTAAACATATTTTTTCTTGTATCATTTTTGGAACTATCAAGATCTTGGTGCTATAGCTCTAAATTTCGATCGTCTTCTGGCAAAAATTCATCTTACAACTTCTAATGAAACTTGCTGTAGCTAAAGAAATTTTGCAGCAGTGCCACCATTTTGTTACGGATGGAGCAAAACTTTTGGGAGCAGGAGTGTGTACAGTGTATGACACACGCTAATGAAGATTCGATCCCAGTCCTCTTTGCAAATCTGGAGTGGTTCGGCTCCAGGCTTCTTTGCTAAAGAATTCATATTCCTTTCTTGTTCCCAAGCCCCTTCAAATGAGAACAGGAGGTACACAGAGATTTTGGGAAATGCAAGGTATGCAGAACAGATTACTAAAGAAAAGACTCGAGTCTCTATATTCTACAAGAACTAGATGGCCTTCTTAGAAACACGATTTGCACTAATCTATCAAATTTGATATAAAGAATTTTTGTTTACAAAAACTCCAGAAACTCAATGGTCGCCATGGAAGTAGCATCTATGGACGTTTCAAAGCGAATTGAACTTTCTTTTCAAAAGCGCACCTATTTCGGCACAAATTAGAAAACGAATATATTGACATGATTATCCTCATTGAACTTCTCATCCTTAAAAGAAACACCACTATAAAAGATCACAAGGCTGTAAACTGTTTTTCTCTATTTCAAAGACAAGACAACTTTGAAATTTGAACACGTTAGTCTTGTGTAATACAGTATTAAGTCAAGTTGTGCCTTTGTGACTAGATTAAGCAATTGCCTGCACATGCAAAGAAGAAGTTAGATTTCATCTGTTTCCTTTAGTGGAGTTGCATTCCAGCTTCACTGTGTCTCAATCAATTGTTATGTTACCTCTTGCTTCAATTATTATATGTTACATTTTTAATCATATGAATTTACAGGTCTGTCAAAATTTCTGTCATCTGTGGCAACCAACCCTGTTTACTTCCTGGAATGAGTCCTGGAGATAATAAGGTTGTTTGAGCGAGGCAACCCCCGGAAATTCATTGTTTTGGTTCATCCCGCCACCGACTACAAACGAGACTACACGAGAGCGCTAAAGTTTCTCATAAAAAGCAATCTGCAATATTTTCTCGACATGACGGAATTGTGCAGAAAGGGCAACGCCAGGGAAAATGAAGCATTTGAAATTCCAGTTCGAGCTTCTGATGGACAGTATTTGAGCGCTGTAAGTATGACAGCAAATTCTCGAATCCATTCAATGCCTAGGCCTTTTACCTATCTATCCATATCAGGTTTGGTTGTTCTCTTTTCAGGGATTTTAATTTAAGATGTTTATGGTCACGTCCTTTCAATCTTTCCTTTTAACAAATCCCGTCCCCGATCTTGTGAGAAGTCCCAACACCAAACAACATCACATACATACAGGCAGTGAACAATCATAGCCTTGCCTCAGGTATTTGTTCCATTGCCCCCTTGGTTACAGTAATACTATTTACAGCTGGGACTCTATTTATTCACAATTTACCATTTCTAGTGAAATTAGCTTGCTACAAAATAGTGGGTCAGTAGATGGAAATATGCATCTTAAATTGCTAACTTATTACTACTGCCTGTGAACTCTGATTGAATGATAGAAAATAAAGATCATCAGTGAAACAACAAAATTTATATCAAGCAAAATGAAGAAAGCCCTCAGATTCTCAAGAAACCCTTTGAATGAATTTGGCTTCCACTAATCAACAATCCTGTGGTATCTAGGAAAAGTCTAGGTTGGCATGCTTGGCAAAGTTGGCTTGCTTTTGAACCACATAATAAAAACAAAACTTTCTGAAGACCTGACATTGAGATTTGAATTTGTTTCTTTTTAGAGCAAAAAGGGTAAGGCGTAAGCGGTTGAAAAACTTTAAATTCAGTTTTGGATCCTAAAACATTGAACAGTCCACAGGTCTTTCTGGGAATAAATAGCACAAGTGTGGCATTTCGCACCCAGTGGCATGCTACCAATGAGATTACAGGGGGGGGGGGGAATCAAATTCTAGGGATGGTTGGAGAATGCATTTTAGTAGATGCAACATAACTTTCTTCAGATTGGGACATAATCTCTCAGGCCTTTTCATTTGATGCTAGTGATCACTCGCAATCAGTTCATCATTCACACAACCCAACCACGCGGGCGTTTGATCGCTCGCACAAAATGGTAAATTGTGAGGAATAAATGTTTCATCAATTAACACCTTTCTTGTCAACTTTTGTGACCTAAGCAAGTGGCATAGACGATACAAAGCTGGCATATCAAAACACAGTGAAATATTTATAAGTAGGCTGAACAGAAAAATGCATCTCAATGGGAAAATGCATTTGAAAACAGGGCTTGCACCACCGATTCTAATGTGAGGGGGGGGGGGCAAAAAAGGGGTGTTACCTAATTAATATCTAAAAGGAGGATTTATTACTTAAAACAAAAGCGGCAAGGGCCCTGGAAAATTAATTCTTGTACCAATGTTTAGAAATACTATTTACCTAGGTGCTGTGAACTTCATAATTCCTGGAAACATCGTCTGGGCAGTTAAAGTGTTAGGTTTGGTACATAATTTTGCTATCCTCCGTTAATATAAACGTAGTAACATTATATACATTTATATGACCTTTGTCATGTACATTAAAATTAAGCACATTGACATTAGATACAGTATTTAAACTAGTACCTTATGACAGGATCATACAGTATTATTTATGAAAATTACAGGACACCTTTAGCATTTGTTAATTGTTTTTATCATTTTAGAGCAATTGCTCGCACATAAGAAATCATGTGAGCGCTGGGCCACTTGCATGGGCTATTTCTGACACAAAGGCCTGATCTCTCTGCTTTTTCTTCCTAGCATTTCTTATCATTTCAGTAAATTAAAACCCCTCGCACCCTCCAAATAATTTTATGTAATGGTGCCTAATCAGGACATTTACCGCCAAGCCCAAAATTATAGGCTGGTTCCTCAAAACACCCTGCACCTCTTACCTGGGGACTCCCCTGGTTTCTACTTTATGCAAAATCATTTAAATTCAACATGAGATCTTGAGACGGTATTTGATGATCAGTGTCAAGCGCATCAAATTTCAAAGTGATATCATCCTGATTTCGAGAGTGACCCTTAAACATTTCATGCAGCCTTTATCTGTGCTGGTCACCAAAACATTGTAAATGGAATGTTAAAATGGCAGGCTTTTTACTATTTTCATAAGAAAACAATACAAAATGAAATAGTTTTTGGTACATCAAAACAATGCCCTGAAAAATGGCACATACCCTTCTGACAAATATCCCACACTTAGTAGCCCCCTCTGAGGAGGGTTGATTAGCTTGGTAAGGCACATCTCTTATAACCCAGTTGGCAAAAAGAACAGGACACTGAAATTATTGAGAGGTAAAACTTATGGCAGGCAAAAAACGAACTTCAAGCATAGGCTATCTGTATATGCTTTCACAGAAATAGCTGCATCTCCTTAGGACAATGGATGCCTGATGATATGATAACGATATTTCCTACTCAACTAAGTTGAACTTACACCAAATCTTCATCATTATTGCTTATTGTTTATGGGCTTTAGAATTATACACTTGCCCCATTTCCGACGTGTGGAGAGCTCCTTTGTGACTCCTTTACCAGGCGCACATCCAGACTATTGCAACTGATGCTCCAGCATAAGGCAGATTCAGTAGATTTTGGGATTCAGGAGCCAAAGTGTGTTTTTTCCAAAAAATCTTCTTTTCTTTTATTAAGGTTTTTCCCTGTGTGTTTTAGCAGTTGCCAGCTCCCTTCTTCAGGTTACCTTTCAAGATAATATGGCATGAGCAAAATCTGTGACACCTTTTTGCAATCCTGTATGGTAATTGTTCAACACCTTGCTACTGAAGTCAACATAACTGCCTTTAACTTTGGGGACTCTGAATTCATACTGCTTTAGAAACATTTGAAACATATCTTCAAACTTATTAAGGCTGTTGAATTTTAAAGAAATTTTCTCCAAGCTCTTCCCAAAGGTTTCATAAACATCTGTTTAAGGTTTTTTCATTTTGAAATTTTTATAGCTTTCAAAAATGCTGCGGCTATAGTTAAGAATTACCTGGCTTTGTGACCAGCTTTATTATACAGTCAGTAATAATAATAATGATGTATCAATATTGCAACAGTGCTGTATATTTGAAGCTTTTGAGGAATCTAAGGTTGTACGAGTTTTTTTTGATTGTTTGCTTGTTTACAGCTCCACCCAAAGTACCTTCATACAAACTCCACAAGTCATACATGGCCATTCAGTGCTGTTGCTGAACTAATTGGTATGTGGACCAGACCTCATTAATCTGTGCGAGGGCGCGAGCTGCGCTCACAGGCACAAAATCTCATTCTCAGGAATTTCTGCAGGCACATTTCTAAATTTATTTTTATTTACCTTTGTTGTATTAGAGTCATGCTTTTTCAAACATCTTTCTTGGTATTGAAATTGAACAGTCAAATAGAATATAAAAGGTAGTAGTTGCAAGTCTTCATTACCAAGATGACAGAAGGTCCTTACTCTAAAGGTGCCATTTGATTCCCAAAATCAAGTTGGCTGTTTGTCTCTTTTCCTCTATTATATCTTGGTGGAAGAGATTATTTGCAATTATTGTATCATTTTCTTCAGAGAATTATGTTATGACTTGTTAATCGCATTCGTGCATAGTAGGCTGAAGAAAGGACACTTCCTTTAAGTTAAAGTCTTCAAGCTTTTGAATCTGGTAGCTATCGATTTCTGAAATTTCATGCTGCACCTCCAAATAATTCATTAAAAACCAAATTTTTCGACAATTTGTGACAACCAAACAAGCCTCTATTTCTTCAATTTTTGGAGTAAAAGCATTTTCATATTAAAATAATCAAATCTTACAAGCATGATAAACTCGAGGCTAAAAAACGGAGTATCCTTATAAGATACTTTTTATAATAAGATATTTCAACGAAAGTAATTGAGAATAGCATCTTTCTTCGAAATGAGAAAAACCCAGTGTAATGTCGAAATTCTTGCAACTGTTGCCAAGGAAGCGAAAGCAAAATCCTAAAATTTACAGACCTTAAAAGAAGATATTCCAACTAAAACTGCTCCATTTAAAGTAAAGCGTTTAAGCTTTCCAAAAGCCTTTGATGAAATTGTGAAGATATTTCTATTTGATGAAATCGAATCGATAACAGCGATAGGGCTACTTGACAACCTAAAACAACCCATACATAAAACCTGGATCATTCCCTTTCTTATGTACACAATATAACGTTAGTAGCATTTATTATGTTATCTGTTCAGTTTTACATGTAGTTACATGTAGTTCATGATGATATTGATATGGTATCTGCTTTTGACAAAGGCAAGTTGGTGTAACAGAATTTAGCATAACATCGACTTTCGATTTATCAGTATCTGACTATAAATTGCACCCTACTTTACTTGGAGGCACATTTTTACTCGGCTTTGCGCTCGCAGGCACAAAATATTATTAATGAGCCCTGATGTGGACATTTCACCTGTTAAATTCATTTAAAGGTTACTCCTGATATGAAGGAAATATACTTATTTCAAGAAATGTGAGCACAAGACAGCATTTGAGCCACTTATTCTGGAAGTAGACCAGGGTCACAATGAAGAAAGTGGTGTTTGTTCACCTTATTAACAATAAATTTGTATGAAGTCAATAATTTCACGACTGGTGAACCTATCTAGGGAGTTTATCAGGTGCTTTCTACATCAAACCATTTGGTGGAAATGAGCAGCTTAGGATTTCTCTTATTTCAGTTAAATTGTTTTGAAAACTTTCCATTATCCTTCTCTACAGATAATGCTTATGACCCTGATGTGAATGCCAGTCAGCTGATTATTGATGTTAAAATGTTAAAAGGCCAAACGTTGCTTGTGTTTACTGACAATGGAACTGGAATGTCACCAAGTCATTTATATAAAATGGTCAGGTAAGCAGAAATCACTTTTTTTTTCTTGTCCAAAGTGTTTGGAGTTTGATAGAAAATCATGAGAAAATTTTCAAGAAATCATCATCAGCTTACAGACAGGCCAGAAATTATGTCTTGTCATTAAAGTTTTTATTATGTTGCTTTTTTCAATCTTGGCCTACCTATGTACCCTTAAACTTGATTTTGGTTCTAATTTGACTTTACCGAGCCCTAATTTATTAAAATAGGGGTTTACTGAATCAGTATTTCTAGACTCTGGTCGGAACCGGATTTATCATCTCTTTATAGTATCGGGCCATAATATCCGGCCATTACCGGATTTTTCTGTAATAAGAAAGTTTTGATATGCTTTGCAAGGGAATGTAAAGTGAGAAGAGCAAAGAAAATAATTCTATGAATATACCATCTAGTTTTCCTGTTTCCTGATGACAAGCACTTTCAATTTAAATCTATTTTCAAGGGGTTGTTTCTTCAAATCTATTTTCAAGGGGTTGGGGCTTGTTTACTTTCAAGGGGTTGTTTCTTCAAATCTATTTTCAAGGGGTGGGGCTTGTTTACTTTCTCAAAAATAAGCCAAGGCTTATTTTTTGTTTGAAATGAAATTTTTTGGCCTATTTTCTAGCTGGCTTATTTTCAAGGTGTTTTCTGATAAGACACTACCCACTTTATGCTATCTGTGTTGATACTATCCATTGATAAACAAGACCCTCTAAAGCCCAACACGGCACTTCTTAACATAGTTAATATAGGTTAAACACTGTGTGATTTACATAGCAAATTGGTGTTTCATCGCGTACAGTGGATCTGGGGTGAGCCTTGGTTAAGATTTGGTGCTCCTTAGTATATCAACTGTTATAGCTGCAGATCTTGAGGAGTAAATCAATATTCCATGCATACCACGCAAAGAAAGTCATTTCCTTTAGTGGCAGCAGCTCAAAATTAGCTTCCCCACATTGCCAAGCTAGCCCAACAATATTTGTCTACTCCAGAATCTAGTGTTTATTCACAGCATTTTTTGGAGGCTGGAAATATCTTTGAGGACAAAAGATTGAAACTTCTTATAAGGAATGGCAAGAAGTTTCTTTTTTCGCATCATAAGCTTGGACGCCTTAAACTTTTAAAATTTACGTTGAAGTTTGTTCTATACTTTTAATTATTGTTTTCGTTGTATTTACTCTGTTATAACTGCTTTATCTATGAATTTCCTTTATCCCAATTAAAATTCTGGAAAATCCGGCAACTGGCCCGATTTCGGTAACAAATCCAGCTGGAACCGGATTTTCAAAAAAACAAGGATCCGGGGCAGGATTACCCTGCCTACCAGATATCCGGATAACCCGGCCTACTGGATAACTTAAATGTCAACCCCCCCCCCTCATTATTGCATTTAAGCTACAATGGCCTTTTTACTATGAATTGCTCTTATTTTTTTTCCGTTTTTACCATAGCTTTGGATTCTCAGAAAAGGTGGGTCGTTTAGATTTTGCAAAAGCAGATAGTAAAAAGCCTAAGAACATCAGAAAATTTGATTTCTGATTTATGGATTATTTCTCTAGCTGGGAAATTTTTCAATTTGGCTAAATATTATTTGTGTTATGTTTACCAATATAGTTGATGGAGAGTCGCAAAAAATGGTATTATATCCCTAGGCCGAGTTCATGTTTCCAAGGTTTAATTCAGCTATTGAAATTTTAAGTTAACAACATTATCAGTTTTTTCACCTTAGCTTTTATAGTTTCATTCTATCACATCAGATCGATCTTCCTTCTTTTGATGTTCCTATTAAATTGGAACCAAGTGCATGATCCAGGATTTAATGCAATGAATGTCGGTTGCAAACTGCCTAGGCTTAATGGTCTTGCTTATACTCATTGATCCATTTGGAAGAACTTGGAAACCTATTGTCAAATTTCAAATGCACTGGCACTGAGTGGAAGTTAGCATTTCAATATGTTTGGCAGAAACACTCGTCCTTACGTTTGCTAATTTTTATATTCCACTCAACCAGAGATTAGGAAAAACAAATATTGTCATGATTGTAATCACTGATTGCCCTCTACCATGTTTTCCCTACACTGACATATGTCGATATCATATAACTGTAGATTGCTTCTGGTGACCATTTGCCAGTAGGCCAATATGGAAATGGTTTCAAATCAGGATCCATGCGACTTGGCAAGGATGCTCTTGTCTTCACGAAGAGAGATAACCGTTGCAGTTTAGCATTTCTATCTCAAACTTATTTGGAGAAGATAAACTCCAAGACAATAATTGTGCCCTTGGCCACATGGGATACAAAAAAGTTCAGTATCCTTCACTTTCGTTTGTGATGCATGGTGAAATACCTTAAATATTATTGCTTTATTGTGAATGATTTGTCTTATTGACACAGTTTGATTGATTCCTAATGACTGATTTGATTTCAATATGAATGAATCATAATGATTTATTCATATTGATAGATTCATAGCGATTGATTCACATTGATTGATTTTTGTTTGATTGATTCATAGTGATTGATTCACATTTATTGATTGTATTTGATTGATTCATAGTGTTAGATTCATAGTGGTACCTCAACATTGTGTAGTGACTGATTCATGGTAATTGATAAACATTTATTCGTAGTAATTGATTTCTATTGGTTTTTTCATGCTGATCGATTCTTAGTGATTGACTCGTAGTGATTGATTTCCATTGATTGATTCATTTTTTTTGATTTTTTTTTGATTGATTGATTGATTCATTGTTTGGTTCATTCTGATTGGTTCATAGTGATTGACTCGTGGTGGTTGATTTGAATGATAGTGGTTGATTAATCCCTAGTTATTGACAGTTAGACATTGATATGTGCTGATTGATTCGTAGTGTTTGAGGGAACATTGATTGCTCAATTAATCAGGTCTGTCATAATTGTGGTTAGTGCGAAATTGTATTTGGCTTGGCTGAAACCATGAAATTTAGATAAGCAATGTTTCGCAAATATGAGGACTGAGAGTCAAGTATATTTTTGCATATAGTTTAGCTCCTTAAATATTTGCAGCTTTGTTAGAAGCAGATAACGGGGGAAGAAAGTCGTTGAGGCAGATACTAGAACATTCAGTGATTTCGACAATCGCTGACCTGAAGGAGGAATTCAAACAGATCCCGGGATCTTCAGGAACGCGTATCATTATCTATAATCTAAGGCGATATTCTGGAGGCATCAAATATGAACTTGATTTCACAACTGATAGCAATGATATACGAATTCCAGACGATTTGTCGGACACTGACGAGGCTCGTTACAAAAGGGAGCAAAGACAAGACCACATTCCGGCTTCGGATTATTCGCTAAGGGTACGGATCGATATATACTTTTAAAACTTTAATTATCAAACTACGTTCAACATAGCATTCTTTCTGGAGTTTCGGCCAGCTTTTTTAAAATTCAAAGCTGTTCACGCCATATTCTATTCTTTTCTCTTCTTGTTTTTTGGTCAGCAGTTTCTGGTGCTTTATGATCCAAGCATCAATTCTAGTTATTTGATTACAAGTTCTTCTGTTAGCTGTTATATCATTCCATTTAAGGGGTTGCAACTGACAAGTCCATATTTTGGCGCCTTCTAGGACATATATCGTGCTTTCTTAAGTAAAAATATGCCTGATTCCTTTCAACATGATTTATTTTGTACTTTTTTCTGCTTGATGTATTAGCCTCCCAGTCGACAGTAAAGCGGTCCCCTTTATCCTCTTCTTGCTTTATCTTTCTTTTCCTGAAAGATCTCTACGCTTTCATTCTACCAATTTATAACTGAAGATTTTAGTATTTAAACAAGTCAGGTACTGTATTATGGCATTTGATAATTTATTCCATTTCACCAAAGCAGTGCAATTTTTGTTTTTTAGCTGCTGGTAGCAGATCTTAATTTTTCAGCCTTTTTATTTTACAGGAATGTCTTTAAGAAGAAAGCCCGGTGAAACCATTTCTAGTGTGTCTGGTGTTTCAAGGGCTTTCTTGCGATCGCGCCTCCGCTAGGGTACACGGATGCATTTCGTTAGTTGTTACTTGCATTTTGATTGGGCAGCAATGAATGCGCATTGCCCTTGCCTATATTTCTGTAGCATTTGAGCTTGAAATCAAACAAGTGGTTTTCTGGCAACAATATAACTAGAACCCAATAAAAAATTAATTGGTTAACTCCATTTCTGCAGCTTATGTGGTTGTAATTGTTTGATTTTCGCTAGGCGTATTGTTCCATTTTGTACTTGAAGCCAAGAATGCAAATAATTCTTCGAGGGAAGAAAGTGAAAACGACAGTCATTGCAAAGAGTCTTGCGAAGACTGAGGTGGATCTTTACAAGCCAAGCACACCATCCGGATATGTATCCTTTCACAATGCTTGATTCAACATAATTGATACATGTTGCGATGTCTGGCTGTCCACTCATTTGTAAATCCGCGCAAACCAAATACTTGGTTCAGATATTTTCAGATTTTGGCATTTCGTATCGAATTAGTGTGTCTGATTGGAATTCCATGAACGTCAACTAGAATTATCACTTACATACAACCCATCAAGGGGAAATCCGAATAGCAACACTTGGGATGCATTGCAATTCGATATAACTGTATTGCCAAAGTCAACTGCCTGCATATGATCTCAATCACGGTGACTATTTTGTTCTATCGAAAGATTTCGAAAACTTATTTCGTTCTATTCTTTCTCGATTTTCTTAGTTGTATATGGTGATTTTCGCTGGATATTTTCCTTCACAAATAACAGGCAAAACCAGTAAAAATAACATTTGGCTTCAGTCAGAACAAAAATCATTATGGAATAATGATGTACCACAGAAACAGATTAATAAAGCCGTATGTGAGGGTTGGGTATCAATTGAAGGTATGTTTTAAACATTCAGGTACAAGTTGAAAGTTTTCGGGTACTTCTGCAGCGAGGGTAACTCTGCAATTAGGATACTTCTTCAGCTAGGGTACCTCTGCAACAAGGATACCTCTCAGCTAGGCAACCACCCACACTTCATGAAACGTATATGTAAAACAGGAAAGTTATGGTATTGATTTTGTAGTCTTGTTGTAAAATGCCTCGTGTCCTTTACTCTGCTTCTGATTCGTGGTCTAGTAGGATTCACCAGTTTACTTGCTGTCTAAATCATTATGGATATTAATACATTGAAACTTCAAGCGGCATCAGATCCACTCTGTGTAATGCTCTTTTTTCATTCGTGTCCTTTTTATCCATGAAATATATTCCCAATGAATGTTGATTAATGTTTCTTGACCCTATTTGAACAATGAATGTGTCTTGACCCATAGAGTGAACCGCATGGCTCTCGCATACAGGGGCGTAACTAGGCCAATAAGTTTGCTGGAAGCTCTGTGCAGTTTCATGTCAGTGGTTTCCACTTGAGAATTTACCTTCGCGTTTTGGTTTTTTTGTGAATTGACAATTAATATTTCGCAATGTTTCATTTCATGAAAATCTCATCTTGAGTTTCACTCGTCTCATGGTACGAGTCTTGAGCCAATTGGACTTGCTGCACAAATCAAGATAAATCGATAACATTGATGTCTTTCAACTTTGAATCTATAATGCTTGTGTAAAATGCTGAATCTTGACAAAAGGGTTTGCTTGATTAAGTATATTGTCCGATTATTTTTTGGCGATTCAGACTGGGCTAAACAGCAAGAGCCGTTACAAATTTTCCTGGTATTACGATTTCAAGATTTGGCTGCGCTAACATGTATTATCTCCTTTGCAGCCAAATTCCCTAGGTGTTGGAGTTATTGGTGTAATTGAATGCGATTTTCTGCAGCCAACTCATAACAAGCAAGACTTCGACCAATCTAAAGCTTTCAGGTAATCGTCATGACATAAATCATCCGAAAAATCACACGTTATAACAAAATGTCCCCATTGGTAAAAATTGCTCACCTTAATGGGAGGTCTCAAAATTTTTTTAATCCAATTGCTAACCATTTGTAGGTAATGACATACGGTGTTCAGGAGCATCGACTACAATCCCGGACAAAGTTGTTGAGACAAAATTTTCTTTTTTACGTTGCCCCTGTAAATTCAAATCTCCTCTTTCCCCTGAATCAATACAAGTGTGCGTTTATGTCTCGATTTTTCTTTGAGAAAGACACCCACACCCTCTGCTTCGGAGTACACTGTACAGACAGAAACCCTTTATTTTTGCCCATCGCTTCTAGCGACGCCCCTGCGTCTGGCGATACCCCTGCCTCTGGCGATGCCCCTGCGTCTGGCGATACCCCTGTCTCTGGCGATACCCCTGCCTCTGGCGATGCCCCTGCGTCTGGCGATACCCCTGTCTCTGGCGATACCCCTGCGACTGGTGATACCCCTGCCTCTAGCGACGCCCCTGCGTCTGGCGATATCCCTGTATCTGGCGATGCCCCTGCGTCTGGCGATACCCCTGCCCCTGGCGATACCCCTGCCTCTGGCGATGCCCCTGCGTCTGGCGATACCCCTGTCTCTGGTGATGCCCCTACCTCTGCTTCCTCTGATTTAACACAAATCTCTCTGCATTCAGAATTTCTCATCCCTTTCATGGCTTTCCATCCGCTTTTACTCCTCTCTTTCGTTCTGTAGAGCGTGCATGGCTGGTCTGGGAAGAAAATTGAACGAATACTGGTAAGTGTTGCCTGTTTCACGCGTTTTCTCACTCAAACCCAATCCGTCATGTTCTTTTCGCTTCCTTGAAAATATAACCCCTTTGTTTTTCAATGCTTGATCCTCCCATCCATTCCAGCTTGGTCACTGTTAAACTTAACTTTTCACCCTCTAATTTTTGTTAAATAAGCCTTAAATCCAGTGTTTCGCTTTTGGCAAAATACTATTTCATTTATTATTTTATTTTTATAATATTTATACAGGTTAAAGGTTCATACATATGTTTTTCAACCTGACCTGTTTAAAAGATTAAAACAAGAGCTAATAACTATGTTAAAATACTAGTAACAAAAGAAATTTACCAATCAAACCTAATTTACAATATTTAATAATACTAAGGCTATAAAAAGTGAACGTAAAGATGAAATAAAAGTTGTCCCCGACTATAGTTGTTCTTTGAAGGTTTTCAGGGAGGGGGCCAATTTGGTAGCCCTTTCTAGATTATTCCACAGTTTTGGACCGCGATAAGAAAAAGCCTTTTGGCCATTTATTGTTTTTAGCAGCGGTATTTTAAGATCAGTTTCTGATGAACGCAGAAACCGTTCTCTATCATCCGAACATTTTTCGAATAATTTTCTCAAGTAGTCTGGTGCAAGCATATTTAGAGATTTGTAAGTTAGCGTGGCTGTCTCCTTTCTTACAAGATTTCTGATGGTTAACCAGCCAAGATTCTGAATTATCGGAGCAGCAGAATCTTGGCTGGTCTATTTGGTTTTATGTTTGGTTTTTTCAAGACCCACAATCTTTGAAGAGAATACTTAAGAGGACTCTGGCAGTATTTCGAGCGAATTTATCATAGGTTTATGATTTAAATAGTGATATTATGATTCATTAAGTGATGCAAAAAATGTAGTAGGTTTTCTCTCGGTACGTTTGAATACGCTGACAAGGGTCATGGCATTGGCAAGGGGAGGTCCTTATACTTGATTGTTGAAATGAAGTGATTGTGTATTGAAACATCAAAACACCGAACAACAAAACACAAAACATAAACTGAATTGAAAAACGAAACCGAAGAGCAATAATTTATTAGATTGTAAATGGTCAATTTGAAAATAGAAAAATTTTATGTTTAGGCACAACAGATAAAAAATAAACAAACGAGAGTGTCGACTAAATTTCGATGGAAAGATTGGATAAAGATAAATAAGAAGACACCCTACCTCAAGCCTATTCTGTAACCTCAAGCCCAGATAAGGGTGGGCATAACTGCCCACTAAATTAGCTGCCGTGCGACAGAAGAGCATGCGTGTTGCTAGATTTTCCACCAATGATGTTTCTCAATAATGTTTCTCTACCAATCAGATTAGATTATTTGGCTTTTTCAATGCGTAAATTATATTGATATAATCAATTCTTATTGTTGTATTAAGGCAAGAGAAAAAAGGATCGAACAAGCAGGCAACGAGCTCGCAGCAACTTGTTGAGGAGAACGAAGTGTGAGTTTGAATAACACTCATCCTATAATGCTTTAAGTATCCATAATATCCGCCTGTAGAGATCCAGAAACCACTAAAAACTTGAATACTTAATGTTTGCAAAAGACTGTAGTACCGCGTAAATCAAAGTTATCTTTAGCATTTTAGGAGGGTTTTTTATTCCCCTTCAAGAACTGTTTTCGTTGTCATCGTGTTGTCGTTAATTCCCTATTTATTAATTTATTTATTTATTTTTTATTTATTTATTCATTCATTTATTTATTTATTTGTTTATGTATTTATTTATTTATTTATCAATAGAAAGTTCAATGTTTACAAATTTTTCATTGGCAGGCTACTTCCAGACCAAAAGTGGGTTCAGTGCGATAACATGAACTGTTTAAAATGGAGAATACTACCTGACAATACCAACCTCGACTCACTGCCGGACAAGTGGTATTGCAAAGATCATCCCCTAGAGGAATGGAGGTCTTGTGACATTCCAGAAAAGCTAGAAGACAAGGAAGAGACCATCACACCTTATAAGAAAGAAGTTACCAAGCAGATGTAATCATTTTTTCTTCGTTGCGTTATTTCTGAAGTCAATTCGTTTTTTCTATACTGATTTGGTTGTTGTGTATTTAGCAAGGTTATGGATATACGAGGTGTCATATTTTTGCTTTTAGGAAAAAGGAGCAGCAACAAAAACGGAAGCAGACGGAAAACAGCTCGAAATTGGCGACCGAGCTGCAACAGATGGTATGAAGCGCAACGCTGATCTTTGAAATTGATTCCATCTTTTTCTTTAGCATCGTGCGCCCACTTTTGATATAAACAAACAAAAACCCATCATATCCAAGTAAAAATCTCAATGCAGTCTTCCTTAGTGAGTCCACCTTAGCAATAATGACGTACTTGCCCCTCCTCTCTTACGCCATCACTATGAGTTTTCTACTTCTTGCCAAATGGTTGGGTCATGAATTCAATAGTTCTGATGTACAGACCTCCTACCTAAAGCAATTCTGATTTACAGACCTCCTCCTGAAGAATTCTGCTTCGATTTTTCTTTTAAATAATGTTATGGTTATTGTTGTGTTCTGCAATTGATTTATTTAGAATTTTTCTAGTTTTTGTAATGTAGCAGAATTTGAATTAATTTAAAGTCAAATCAAATCAAAACTGGTCTCTCGTCTCTTAAACAATGAAGACCATTATCACCTCACAACTGCATGAGGTCAGACCAAAGTTAGAGCAAAGTGATCTTTGCCAACATCTACAAGGCATTTAATCGTTTCTATCACGACAGTTTTCCTTCTATTCTTCCTATTTATTGCCCCGTCAACTCGATAGTCTCAGATTTCTTCACTTGCTAAACCAACACCTCAATAACACCTCCTATGGTCTTGATTTTTTACTCTATCTTTTTTCATAGCTGAAATCAACGAACTTGATCTCACCTTCTTCTCATTTTGGCTTCTCTGTCCTTTCCCTTTTGTAGCCTTCCTATATAGGCCTGACAAATCAGTTCGGTCGTGGGTGAACTCTCCCTCTTTTGAAAGATTGCGAATGCCTTTTGATCTACATTTTCAGTTCGGGTTGTTTCGATGATTTATGAAACAAAGAATTTACGAATGATAGCTGTGTTTCACCAGATCCATGTTACTTGAAGTGATGCATCGAATTTCGTTAGCTGCAATTTTATGTCAGTTTACATATCCATCAGTTTAGATATTCAATTGCCTAAAAGATTCTTAGTATGTTTTGTCCATTCTGATTTTATTGGCATCAACAGTTGTAAATATAGCGCATTTCTTCCATTGATACGTCATTCCAAGAGGTGATGTTTGTTATTTTTCAGGTGGAGAAAAAAGAACAGGAGCTTGAAGAGGAGGTATTTGAATGATTATTTGGAGTTGTTGATGACTTTGCGATTGGTGTCGGCCAATTAGATGCTAAATTTTGTTTAGCAGTGTAGGCTTCTCCTGGTTTCCTATTTGGAAATTCGTTTTACTTTTATTACAACCTTCAGGTCAGGTTCTGCAAAAACCAGCATTAGCATTGGATTGTTATTTGTACGTTGCTTGAAAAAATGAGATGGTCGCTTCACAAACTGATTCTAGAAACATTGGAGTGACATATCTTTTGGAAACGGATTAGCTCAAGCTTTTTTATTCAGGTTAATAAGGAAAAACTTCTTCTGATTGCCCCAACAAAAAAAGAAAAACTTTTGAGCTACACATACATCGCAAGTTATACAATGATTAAAAATTTATATAATATAAGCTACAAAAATTTAAAGACAGGAGATGCAGATCATTTTTGGCAGTGCAGAATTACAAACTGGCTTTGAAAAAAGTAAACATTTTGGAAACTACTATAAAAAGTCGAAAATACTAGTCAGAGTATAAAAAGTTAGAATAGCGACTGGGAATCCTGAGCCACGTGAGCGCATGACTGTAAAAGTAGGTCAGTCAATACAACTTCCCCATTTGAAATATGCTTAATGGAATCCACGAATGAGGACGCTGTCTACACAATAGTGATTGTTTAAAAGTTAGTTGAAAACAGCACAAAGGTTGAAAGTCGAGAAACATTTTGTAACATCCTGTTTAGCCTGGCTTTGAAATCACGGGAAAGTGTTACCGATCGATGATAAACTGGGCTCTGCAGTAGACCTAACTTTGTTTCAGCCGATAGACTTGACCAAAATTTATGCTGAAAAAGCATTCTCTGTAAAGCCATTTTCCGGAATAGCCTTTTCTAGTTGATCAGAATCCGAGTTGAGTTTGACTGTTTGACAATTTCAAAGTCATATAAAGATTCGTTATAATAATGATAATAATGGAAACTTTTCATTTTGAATTCCTGTTAAAACTACAATTACAAATCTCACTATTACAAGGTAATTTGTAACTGGCTAGCCTGTGTTTACAAAATAAAAACTATTACATCGTAGTAATGAGAAAAAAGAATTGTTAAAAGGGGTGTAGCTCTGGATTAGTCCAAGTTTTGTTTCTACAGCAGAATATATAGTATGTGGTGCGAATGGAGATGCTTGTAAGTTTGGAGATGAGGTAGCGTTTCTGTTGATGATCAATGGACAAAGAGTCACACATGTCGATGAATGAGCTGCAGGAGTCGCCAAAAATACCAAGTGAACTGATGGAAAGATTGACAAACGAGACTGACTTAAACTCACGTTTTAAGTCAGATACGAGGGTGGCATATTTCCCTGACTTTCTGGCAGCATTGCAGTTGAGATTTGTTTTAAAGCCTATGGTTAGCTCTAAAACGTACAGACAGTTTTCCTTAGTTTTGAGAAGTAAGTCAGGGCGTAGTTGATCTCCAGTTATGATAGAAGGGGAAAGAAAGCCTGGTAAATCTGCGTAGAGAGAAGACCCATTTATTGCTTGGAAGGAAGTGGCTAGAAAGTTTAATGTAGAATTATGACGCCAAGTATAGCGTCCTTGGTCAAGGTACACTTTGCATCCAGCAACAACGTGTAGAAGTGTTTCTGAAAGAAGACAGAATTCACAGTCAGATGTTTGACTAAGGTTCCATTTCAGCAGATTTTTACGAGTGTTGTTAAGATACTTGATGGTAAAGTTAAAGATGTTACTAGGCAAATTGCTCTGTGTACTTGACCAAATACCGTTCAGCTTTTCCAGTGAATGTTTCAGTAGGAAGGTAATTGTGGCTCCCTGAGATGTTAAGTTTTGGGAGAGACGTTCTTTGTTGTCTGATTTGACAGCCTTTAATACCTCTTTAGTATTACGATAGATGTCGTACTGTAGGTTCGTGCCATGACTGGTGTTTTTCCATAGGGTTTGAATGTCAATATAAAGATTCGTTATAATAATGATAATAATAGTAATAATAATAATAATAATAATAATAATGGAAACTTTTCATTTTCAATTCAATTAAAACTACAATTACAAATTTCACTATTACAAAGGTAATTTGCAATGGGCTAGCCTGGGTTTACAAAGAAAAAGACTATTACGAGGGTCACTCCAAAATTATTGAGATATTCAGTAACCGCTTGAGATATCAGTTTGAAATTTTTTTGGTGGCTTGTACCATCTATTTCACCCATGTTTTGTAATTTTTGTTAATTTCAAGCGCGGGAAAAAAATAAAAAAGGGTTTTGAATTTCAGCACCTTAGATGTTCTTATTTGTTAAAAATGGAGCTTGAAAGACGTGATTTTCGCGCAATGATTTATTATGATTTTAAAAGGGGGCTGAAACAAGAAGAGTGCCTAGCTCAACTTCTGCAGACATTTGGAGATAATGCACCTTCAAGGGCAACAGTTTTTCGATGGTTTGCCGAATTTAAGAGAGGGAGGGAGAGCCTTAAAGATGAGACCCACCCAGGGAGGCCCCCAACTGCTGTTGTGCCAGAAACAGTTGCCGCTGTGGAGAAGATGCTAAGGCAAGATGGTCGGATGACTTATTCTATGATGCAGGATAGCGTAAAGATTGGATCAGCAGCATTGCACACAATTTTGCATGAAAACTTGCAAGTTCGGAAAGTGGCTGCCTGCTGGGTGCCACATTGCTTGTCAGATGAGCAAAAAGAGCAGCGCGTCAATTGGTGCCAGTTTATGCTGCAAAAATTTAATGAAGGGAAGTCGAAACGGGTTTATGACATTGTGACAGGCGATGAAAGTTGGGTTTACCAATTTGACCCGGAGACAAAGCGCCAATCCTCAATTTGGATCTTTCCAGGTGAAAACCCGCCGCAAAAATTTCGGCGATCCAGAAGCGTCGGCAAAAGGATGGTTGCGTCATTTTTCTCAAAGACGGGTCATGTCGCAACCATTCAAGTTGAAGACCGTCGTACAGTGAACGCGGATTGGTATGTTAACCACTGTATACCACAGGTTCTAGAAGTTTGGCGAAATAAACGTCCAAGGACCGGCTTAAGAGGTCTACTTTGGCACCATGACAACGCTTCCGCTCACACAGCTGCTTTGACCATCGACTTTCTGTCCGAAAATTCAGTTCAGTTGATGACCCACCCGCCTTATTCACCTGATTTGGCACCTTGTGACTTCTTTCTCTTTCCAGCGGTGAAAGAAAAAATTCGCGGAACCAAGTTTGATAGCGCTGATGATGCAGTTAGTGCCTTCAACGAGGCTGTTTCTGACCTGGCTGCAGAAAAATGGGCCCATTGTTTTGATATGTGGTTTTATCGTATGAGACTTTGTGTGGAAGCCAGTGGAGAGTATTATGAGAAACTGTGAAAATTTGAGCACGATGCCTCTTGCGGTTTTTGAATATCTCAATAATTTTGGAGTGACCCTCGTACAAGCGCAAACAAAAGAAATTAACAAAAAAAGGAAAAAGTGCGTTCGTCATTGTTTGTTTTAGAAGTCGTCAGTAGCAGAGATCGTTAGAATTCAAGAAGTTCAGGATTATTCCAAGATTTATTTCTGCGGCAGAAAATGTAATAGGTAGTACGGATAGTTAAGTTGGATAGTTTGGAGATCATGAAGCGGAGATGATTCTCGCTGATATCTAGAGCGTTGCACATGTCGATGAAAGAGGAGCAAGAGAGACCAAAGATACCTAGGGAACTGATAGAAAGATTAACAAACATGATAGAAGAATAGGCTGAGCTTAGGCTGTGAATGAGATTCGAGTATTTCTCTCTTTTGCGGTTAGCATTAACATCCAAGTTTCGTATCCTACTGTAAGCTCGAGTATGAATAGTCGATGGTCAGAAGTGACTAGAAGTAGATCAGGACGGAAAGAGTCTCCTGTTATGATAGAGGGTGAGAGATAACCTGAAAGGTCTGCGTAAAGAGAGCAATTAGGTATAGCTTTCAAAGATTGTGCTAGGAAGTTCAATGCAGAGTTATGGCGCCATGTGTAACGGCCTTCTTCGAGGTATGTTTTGCAGCCTGCAACAATGTGAAGTAACGTTTCTGGCATATGGCAAAAAGAGCAATCGGACGACTGAGTAATGTTCCATTTAGATAGGTTTTTTCGCGTGGCAAGGAAGTTGCTAAGATATTTGATAGTAAAACTGTAAATGTTCTTGGGCATGTTGCTTTGAACCGTGGTCCATATTTTAGAGGCTATAGGAAGAGAGTGGTCAAAGATGAAGGAAAGAACGGTACCTTGAGATACAAGATGGTTTTGAAGGCGCTCTTTATGTTCTGACCTAACAGCCTTCAATACTTCTCTAGTATTCCTGTAAACATCATATTGGATGTTCATGCTCTGGCTGGTATTTTTCCACAAAGATTGGATGTTTTTGTTGGGAGAGGATTTCAGTGCATTACGACAAACAGTTTGACACTGCATGAATTTAACAGAAGGAAGAATCAAGTTAAGACCGAACTGGTTTTTTTGACAGAATAATGCCACTTAAAGTAGCACTTATGGGTAAATCGAGCCAACGGCGGATAAATGCAGAAACTTGATTATCGAGGTTTTCGACTATCCAGGTTTTTGATAGATCGGCTACTGTGAGGTGCCACGAAACTTGTGAGAGAAGATAGCTGTTATAAAGAAGCAGCTTATTCTTTGGATGGAGAGGTAAAGAATCAATTTGCGTTAGGAGTTCTGTGAAGATGGAGCTGAGCTTAGGCACATGTTCTTGGTAATAATAATAATAATAATAATAATGATATATTCGTATTTGCCCTAGTGTCCGAGCTAAAAGCTCAGTTAACATGAAAGGCATGTTTACTAGGCTTGTGTTATCCACTACATACATAATAACTTCATATAAACTGTGAGACACAAGATTTAGAAGTCATCCAATGTGAAAATATAATATAGAACTTATTGTATCTGATCATACGCAAGGGCCAAGAGAAAATAGATTCACATAAACAACTTCTTAACCCTGTGTCTCCATATATAGTTGGCCATTA